TTTCACATAATCTCTATCAGGACTCATTTCCCTTCTTCCTCCCCTGTTTACAGGCCCCATTCAATTTACTTTTTATTCGAACGATTAAAAGGATTTATTTTTACTGAGCTTGTGTTTCCATTATAATGATTTACATTTCATGGAAAAGATGGCCATCTGGATGTATAAATTTGGCACTTTTTATTCTCACAGATGACCTTGGTTGGTAAGGATGATGTCACATATATTGTAAGGGGCATGTCTCTTATTGATATTACTAGGATTCTTTGATGAGTTTATGTTTTGACTTTGAAAGCCCCTTAAAACGTAATCTTACAGATTTCTCTATAACCTTGAATATTGATGACTAAATATACAACAATCACAAAATTAAAGTTTTTGGAGTATAACGGTCCAGAAACTCTAGTCTCCCTCATCAGGACTGTGTGGGGTGTGGTTTGATCGGATTGAGTTGACAGTGGTGCTCAGAAATATGCAACATCGCTGTCACCTTTTTCCAAAGTGAAGCAGGGAGAATAAGCAAGGACAAAAATACAAATACAGAAATCTCTCATGAAAAATAACTAAAATTCTCACTCATAATAAGAAGACTATTTTCAGGACCTTTTAACATCATCTGCCTGCCTCATATAATTGCAGAGTTACTGTACTTTATGAGCGCAGTAGTCTCTTTATACTTGCAGTAGCTTGTAGTTGAATGTGGAAGTAACCTTACATTAAACTCATGGTGTTTATGTTCCTCTGCCTTGCTACCGCTGTCACCTGAGCCACCAGACAGGCAGGTTTATAAGCAAACCAGCAGAAGAGATGATATCCTGAAATGGCGCCTTTTCCCATTTGGTGGGGCTGAATGGGAGAGGACTCTGGCTGAACTGTAATTGAAACAAACGCTGCCTCAGAGGTCCGTCATTGATTTAACAAGTACATGAGGCAGTGTCTTTTTCCCTTAGTGCCCCACAAACGTCGCATATTCAACTGTTCCACACTAGACAACCATTGTCCCAAATTGAAGTTCTTTTATTCCATTCTTTATAATGAAATAGTTTAATAACTTTGTTTCAGTAACCTGCGTCTCTCCATTGACCCTCTGGTCTGCCATGGAAGTCCTGCTAGTTCTTCCCTGCACTCATATCTAAATAAAAAATTGAAATCCTTGGCCACAGTCAGTAATCATTATTCTTTTAATCATTGGTTGAGTTACTGTTTATAGTTTATTTCTGTTTATTAAGTAAATACATCACTGCAAACTGCAGTGCAAATGCAAACCTGTTTCTGATTGGTGTACAGCAATGGACATTTACATACACACTTTAAACATTATTGTTATTACATAGCCAAATAATCACAAATTCACTACAGGGACCCAATTGCTTTGATACTACAGAGTATAAGCACGCAGCAAGCAGCAGGTTGCCTAACGGTAGGCATTCAGTAAAAACAGTGTTTACACCCAGAGACAGGGCTGACTGTTGTGGCATTTGCCATTTTGGCATTGAGGATTTCTAAAGGCATGGATGGTTGGCAGACCCAGGGGAGCTGCTCTTTAGCACAGATAAAGTATTACTACCATTGCTGTTTGCTATTAATGTTCCTTTTGAAAGTTATATATATTTTTATATAGTCCAGTACTGTACAGATATTCCATCACTTTGTTCATTTCTTCCTTCTCTTAAGTGAGTAATTGTAGCGTAATGTGTCATGTAATTTGCTTTTGTTAAAATTAGCTTTTTATAATTGGTATTGAAAAAGGAGCAAGTACTGAAGTCAAGGTATAGCTACTGTACTGAAAAATTGTAAATGATACCCAGCCCTGATTGTATATTTGAAGTTTTAAATAAACGGAGAAGATTAAACAAACGATTTAAATATTTACAATCTATAGGAACACCCCAATCCAGGGATCTGGAGAGAAAGATTAAGAGAGAAGGTCAAACGTGCCCCATATGCCACACCTGACTGCCTGCAAGCGGAGAGGGAGAGACCACTGCGCTGTTGGCAGAAAAGCTGTGGACTGCAATTACTCTGAGCAGCATGCACAGGAATAAATTAAAATATAATATATTTGATTGTATTCCTCACCTACTCCCGGATGGTCTGAATAAGTCACAAGATTTGTCATTAGTCACTTTTTAGAAATAAAGTTGCTGAGAGGTTCTGAAAATCGCTAAATATAGAAATCGAGAAAGTTGGCTACACTGGTCTTTCTCTAGGATTGATTTTGTTTATGTAAGCACGCATGTGACGTATCATGGAGCTCGTGCCAGTGCCAGCTCACATTTTTCAAATTTTAACAATTAAAATGATACATGTTCCATGACATGTAAACATAATCATTTCATTTGTAATAATACATTTCTCTACTGTCCTACAATTCTCCTAGACACTGTGTCTTTGTGTCCCAGGTGCTATTTTTATTGTTCCCGGGACAACATTACATCCTTAATTTTGAGCACTGCGTCAGAGAAACCAGTCCTGCCAATAAATTGTTCCAGCTGAATACTTTCTTTTTCTCACAGAAGGCAATTTTCTCCCCTTTCCAAGCAACTTTGAAAAATGCCCCAGCTTCTTTAAGTGCTTGATGAATTGACACAGCTTTCCGTCATGCAGATGCCAAGCCGTGTATCCGTTTTGACAGTGATAGACACATATCTCAGTTCTCCCTTATATTGCTCCTCGTTTCTCTTGCCTCTGCTCAAGGCGATGGATCGTTCCCATCAAGGGCGTCTGTCAAAATCTGTGGGCTGAAACGATCAGCTGCAGCACCGGCAGCTGGGGAATAAAACTATGCTTGTGCTTTGCGACCATATCAAGTGCTCAAAGGCTCTGAGCTTCAACAATAGTGGGTGTGACTAAGACTGTCACTCTCTATATGTGTGCGTAAAATCCTCTGTGGTGTATTTTCATTCAGTTGTCGGCCACAGCCCAGGGGCAAGAAGTGAGGTTTGAGGCAGAATATGAGCTGATGGACATGAGATGCGGCAGGGACCTCAACCTGTAGCTTACACGCTCCTTACCCTAAGGGCCAGGATCTAGAAACTTCCTTTACACAATCAGCTGGCAACATCCTCTTTGTCTCAATATCCAAACACTACAAGATAAATATTTTTATTTTCCAGTTTCTTACTTATATATCCATAATTGTCACCTTGATCTTGCCCATACTGTTTGTATATTTGACTGAGAAGCTGAATAGAAGCAGATAGATACATAACGTTGGGTGCTGTTCTGTTAAGTGCCCTCCTTCATGTCCGCTACCTGCCACATTGTCAGATTAATAAAACAAAGGTAGTGGTCAGGTGGGTTGGAAGTTGGAAGGGACTGCAAGTTTCTGTAGCTCATACAGAATTTAAGGGTGATTGTAGCCCTGGTACAAATCATCTGCACTACAGTACGACATGCATAATGCACACTGGTTGAGTTCCATTTCTGTTTGCATAGATGCATGTGCTCTCATTGGTTTGTCTTTTATGGATACCTTGTAATCAATGAAGAAACCTTTCCAGGAAGAGAAAAGAGGTTTAACAGGTTAAGTGTTTACAGTTGCCAGGTTTGGCTGCTGTTTAACCAATTATCACTGCACATTAGAGTCAGCTCTATATGACAGTGTGAATACAGTTAAATGAGATGCAGATATAGCTAAGGAAAATGCTATGGTTTTTATGTTTTGAGATGGAGTAAAAATTCTCTTTTTATTATCAGCAGAAAATTTCAGTTCCACGTGTTTGATGTCATTTGTGTGACGTGTTAAGTGTTCTGCATTTACAGCGCTTTTTCAGCAGCAACATATTGTGGTGATTTCTTTTTTTATATATAAAGCTGTTCTCCCCCCGCACGCTGACTGGAAGGTGGCAGGCTGTCAGATGGATTTTAATGTGTCGAGGCAGCATGTGACAACTCCATTCTCTATGGACTGTGTTCCTTGCCGCGGCTTAAATCTCTTATTGAATGGAGAATCTTAACCCAGTTGATGTCACCAGGAAATTATGTTTATTCGTTCTAAGAATAAATGCTTAAGAGTCTGCTCCAGTTTGGTGATGGGCTACAGTTTCTCTTTATTATCATTCCTTCAGCTACATTCTGCTCTATTAATCTTTTTTTCCCCTGTATGATTTACATTATGCATATTTTAGGAGTTACTTCTCAGACAAGATGTAGCCATATTTATTTTATGGGTGACACATTCCCCAACTCAAAACATTTGACAGCTGACTGGAAATATTTCTGTAAAGCAAGTCACTACAAAACAATTTTCATCAACTTTGCATCTAAATGATACAGTCGGATGCAAGCAACAGAATTATACATGACTGAAAAACCTTGAATTGAATGAGTCACCTTCTAAATGAATTTACAGTCTGTGCTCTTCTGTTATTTTAAAAAGGACATTGTCATTCACCCCCAAAAAAAGGTCAAAATGTTGTAAGCTATTAATCACAAAGGTTCTTTCATTCATAAACTGTTATGAGCAGTGAATACACTTCAACAGTTAATTGAAAGACTGTGTGTGTTGGCAAAGCTAGAGAGGAAGGCAAGAGATCAAATGAATTACTAAATTCCAGGTAAAATCTTGCTAGCACAAATGTTGAATTTATAAATTATGTTGGGCTAATTAACAGTGTCTAGATGTTTTTTCCTAATCAAAGGTTATAGTGGGCATCATTATTATGTGTGTCAGAGTCTAAAGTTTTTAAATATTCACATTCAAAATGGTCTATAGAGCTGGGACGTACAGGCAACAATGTGATATAAATGTCAATAAATGAATGTACTTGATAAATAATGGTAGGCCTTATTGTCCTGGTTTTCATCGTGAAATGGGTATTATATGGCATTTGATGTGATATTAAAAGGGTATTAAAAAGTCTTAAATTGAATAAAGTGAACACTGCAGAAACTGCTGAAATTGCGTCGGGGTGCTGGAACCCCGTTGTACTGTTGTTTTATTATCATGCATGTTGCAGTGCTGACATTAATTTATCTCTTTACATGTTTCTGTACAGGTGTGGCCTCTGGTCTCGAGATTACATCTACGGGCCCGACATCTATGGAGAAGGCCAGTGGTCAAAGTGTGAAGCTGGACTGCCAGTTCTCTCTGGCCCCTGAAGATTCTGGACCACTGGATATTGAATGGAGCTTGTTGTCATCTGACAACCAGAAAGAGGACAAAGTGGTACGTGTAGATATTTCCAACAAACCTTGAAAATACAGTTTTGTTTCAAAGATAGCATATGAAAGTACATTTGGCTGTTATGTGCTCTCTAATCAACTTTTATCTGTGTTCAGAGAAGTTGAGCTTTGTTCTTGCCTTCTGATAGGTAGTTGATAGAATCTTTTCCAACCTGAACTTCTGTGTGTTGCTTTAGAAATTCTTTCGCACACATAACAATACGTCAAAAACAGAAATCAGTGCTTTCTTTTTTTCATAGTTTTATTTAATTTTATTTAATAATTTTAGACTTTAAAAGCCCCTCATTTGTTTGCAGCGTGTGGTTCTGCACTAACTGTTCTGTTGCGGTGGTGTCTGTGTGGTCTGGTGTGCAAGAGGTGAAATGCAATATAGGTTCTATGTTAGGTGTGTGTTTTCTCGAGATGTAATATAGGAGGTATACAGTATAAAAGACAAATGTAATTTGAGCCACATGCACTTCTTTTGAGCATTTGTTCTCTGCAGTGCTCTCACAGGCCCGTAGTGGGAGCGATGGGAGCTCTCTTTATCCCAGGAAGTGTCTTTCCTTTCCAACATGGCTGTCAGCCATGGAAAGGGAAGACTACATAACTCTACAGGGTCTCCACTCGCCCTCAGGGCTTTCACAGCCATAGAGACAGATTCTTGCTACAGATCGTTCCAGTGGTGTGGTCCTCCCCCGTGGCTCTCTGCTCTCCCCACGTCCCACCTGTCACAAAGCCTTCTCATCCCTCTCCTCCACTCTCTTTTTTTCCCCCCTGTATCCTGTGGCTTTAAGGTTTTTTTTTTGTTTGTTTTTTGGCCGAATGTTGGAAATAGGTCACAGGCTCATCATTAGGCTTCTCTGTCTCTGTCATCCACCCACGGTCCTTTCTGTCCAGTCCACTGACCCAGCCAGCCCTCCTCTCACCCAGGTAGACCTATGTATGCCTGCTTCTGGTCGCTGCCTTCTCCGTGTGTGGAGTTGTGCCATTGAGGAGACGCCAATTACCCCTATCTGTTTGTCTTCACCCGACTTGTTTTTACTCCGAATCGTTAACTAGAGGGGTGGAGAAAAGGGATCTATATCATTGTTTATTCTTAATATATCACTGGTTCTTTTGATTTCAATTTTAATATCGACTCTTTTTAAATTTTCTTTTTTTCTTTTATTATTTATTATTATAAAATGTTCTTTTATTTCACCAGTGTCTCAATGACGGTACAAGGGAGCACAGAATTCAGTGTGGGTGGTTCCCTAGTCGGGTCTCTTCCTCTTCTTGTCTGAATGCAGCTGTAGAAATATATCAAATGTTCCCAAATGGCATCAGTTTCCACAATCTTTTTTTATAACGTGCCATTTTGCTAAGGTCTGTCTGCACACCCTTTAATGTTGCCAAACCTTTGTAGGAATTTAAACTGGCCCGACATCTCACTCTGAACGCATTTGTTCTCCTTGACCTATCAGATTTTTTTCGCTATATAAATGCACGCTAATTCATTTGTATCGCCTTTAACCAATATGAAGTCATGCTAAGTAAATGCTTTGTAATTAGCGGCATATTAATTCCAAGGGGCTGCTTTAATATATGTGACAGTGTAAAGTAGGATTAGGCCGATCTGCGAGGACCAAAGCTACCAGGTCAGGCAAGGAAATGAGAGTGAAGGCTAAACTTTATAGCTAGAGGCTCTCAGATGCTCAGAAAGCATGGTGAACCTTTGGTCACATGAGATGTACAAATCCAGGCTGCTCTTAAAGGCACCGCCACAATCAGATAAAAGTTTAAAGTGGAGAACTAGTTTACAGGATCAGTCTACGGGGTCATATAACTGGGAACTCAAAGCCATGTTTTTGCAAGGAGGGAGACAGGTTGTATGGCGTGCCTGGCACATGTAGATAACCCTTACTACAAGAATTTTGTTCATATTAATGTACCATATATTCCATCTGCGTTTTCTTTGCGTTGATGCAATCAGAAGTAATACCACAGCATTATCCACTCAGTCCAGTGTCTGGTGGATAGTGATTGCCTCCTTCATCTGACATATTCGACATATCATCAGGGCCTTTTTGTGGGTGGTGAAGCATAGCTAATGCATGTTTCTTTGTTGGGTTCGGATGAGAGATGCCAGGCATGCCTACAGTAACAGTCATTTGCATTAGGCTCTCATTGCCTGGCTACAGATTAGCTGAAAGGAGGGTGTGCCCTGAGTATTTACCACCGCTGTGAGAACAGCAAGGGAAACAATTATGAAACTAAATGTGAATGGTTAGAATGGGGGAGGAATTTACTTGGAAAAATACATTAAAAATGCATAGCATTATACCATATCTTACAAATGGTCTCTTTTGTCCTTGAGCGCAGCAGCAGAGCCTTTTGTTTACTGAAGATTTGTGCATGTTGACAAAGTATTGGAGGATTTGGATGTAAAGCCATGACAGTTTGTTTGAACATTAGTGATGATGGTGAATGCTCATGGCCACGTACGCTCTTCATAGCCTCAGTGTTGAAGGACACTTGATCCATTTTCATACAGTTGAGGATTCTGCTTTAACCTTAACCTAGCAGAGCTGCTCCTGTGACAGTATGTGGCAGAAGCACTTCACGTCATTCAAGTCAAAAGCCTCTGTGGGAGCTCAAAGACACGATGTTGCACTCCCAGAGCTCTGCAGGTTGTTTAGAGTATACAGGTATCACGGCTCTCTGCTTTGCCTCTCAAATGATCTGCGGCTCTTCCTCTTCCCTCCCTGAGCAATAGCATCACATGACAATGACCTCATTTTCACATGTGTCTGATGAAAACGAAGCCTGGCCAATAGAGGTCTTTCACTTCTGCAGCATGATCCATCCACTGAGAATGGCCAGGCCAGGTGGCGATTGTATCATTGAGCGTCCTACCTGTTATGAAACGCAGCACACAGTGGTACTCTTCTGTCCTTTCCAGCCCCCGCCAGCTTGTCTAGTCATTTGCCCTTTTCATTTTCATTCCCCAGGCTCTTTATGGGATTTTTTTTTCATTGGATCATGATTCTCAAGGTTATTGTGCAGTTCAGATTTTTTGCTAGAGGTGTGCATGTGTGTAAGCATTCCCATCTGTGTGCCTCTGAAGTGGTTAAGCCCAAGTGAGAGTTCTTGTCTGGCTGAGCTTGGGGCAATTTAATTTCCTCTCCTCCGTGGTCTCATCTCGCATATTGCTGTTATTACTGCTGATGTTCTGATCCCCAGTGAAGTTAGAAGGATAGATTTCCCTCCCCTGAGAGTGCGGAGGAATTTTAACTGCATTACCTGTTTACGGGGCTAATATGTACAAGATGAACATGGCGCCCGTTGTGAGCACGCCTGCCTTGCAGCTCCAAGAATGAATCTTCCACTTGGAAATGGAGTGGAATGGCAACTCGCTGAAGATGCATCACAACCTCACTGACACTGTTTCCCTTTTGTTTTGCTCCTCTCGTGCTTCCTTTGAGTGCTCTGCCTCCACTGATGGGTTCATTATTCTTCCTCTCCTCCTGCATGTTTAGTCTTTTTCCTCTCTCCTCCTCTCTACCCAGGGGTATTGCTGTGTCTGGTGTTGATCGTGGCACAGAAAAGCCTGTTGATGACTGTCTCCATGGAAATGTGGAAGAATATGCCAGTGTCTATGAAAGAGAATGAGAACTCTTTTCATTGTTGTTTGCTTTTCTTATACCCTTCCTTGTTCGTTTCTTTGTGTTTTAGTTTTTTCCCTCCTCCCCAGCTACTAGCTATGAGCTTCCTGGTTGGCTCCACCTGGTCTTTATTTCTAGGCATTTCCTTGCTGCTTTCATGACCCAGACTGTCTGTGTGTGTGTGTGTGTGTGTGTGTGTGTGTGTGTGTGTGTGTGTGTGTGTGTGTGTGTGTGTGTGTGTGTGTGTGTGTGTGTGTGTGTGTGTGGGTGTGTGGGGAAGCGGTGGGACAGAATTGGGGGCTACTGCTCTTTGTTGACACAGCAGGTGTTGATTTGGCTTCACAGTGGTCGCTTTGTTGTTCCACCTTAATTCTTCTTAAGCACAGAATGGGTAGAACAGCACAGGCAGCCAGACTGAAGGGCATTGCAGACATAAAAGAGAGGGTGCTTCTCTCTTCCATATATTTTGATTGGTTCAGTGAGCACAGCCTTTACTTTCAGAAAGCACACAACTGTCATTTCAAGGCCTTTGTGTTATTTGTTTTCCAAATGGACTTTCATTTTCATAAACATCATTCTAAGTAGGTTTAAGTTCTTAACTCAGACTCTGTTTTCCTGCACTGCACATACAGGTGATCCTGTACTCGGGTGACAGGGCATACGAGGACTACTATGAACCCATGAAGGGTAGAGTCCACTTCAACTCAGCCGACCCCAAGAACGGCGATGCCTCCATCAACCTGACAGGGCTGAAGTCGTCGGACTCGGGCACCTACCAGTGCAAGGTGAAGAAGGCTCCCGGGATCCGCAGCAGGAAGATGCTGCTGATTGTCATGGGTAAGTGAGGTTTTTTGTGTGTCTTCTCACTGGGTAAATTATCCCTCTCTCATTTGAAATACACCAAATCACACACCCTTTTCCCTCCTTGGCTGTTTTGACGTAATCCCTTCTCAAATCGGGTGCATAACCTTCCTGGAGGCTGTAGAGCATTGCCCCCTTTGTGATTCTCTATTCACCCTAGATGCTCTGTGATTATGTCTAAAATGGTAATCCTGATTTTTATTTATATATTAGTAAGTATATTAACAATATACTTATTGAATATCAAAAGGGAACATTACAATATATAATGATTGCACATAATTTTGTAACCTTAATTAAAATATTGGATACTACAGGCATAGGTAATTAAACAAATAATCGATCCATGAGTATTCCAAATCATTTTCAAAGTGTACAGTGTCATCCTGTCTTTTAAAATATGTGGACAAACCTCAGAAATGGAATGTAGCACTAAGCTGGCTTTTTATTGTGCAGGGTGAGATGGGTGACACATCAGAGTTGTATAAGTCAGATGATTCACTCCCTAGGCAAACACACACACACACACACACACACACACACACACACACACACACAGTGGCCTTGCTGATCGGTCAACTGACTAAATGACTGACTGACTAAATGATGTCGAAAGTGAATCGCCTCCCGAAACCGCCTGATATTTGCATATGGGAAAAACAACCGGCATGTGCTGCATTCGTGTGTGTTGTGGGATAAGCTGTGTATTGTGCTATTATCGCAGCCCTGTTATCAGAATAGTTTCTCCTTTCTAAAGATAGGACAGGCTTCATAAAATGGCGGCTGTTCCTGTTGACATGATATCATGTGTACAGAAGTGACGGCACTGCACCAACTAGCTCATCCAGAAAGACATGAGCTATTGGAAAATAAACCGGTTCCACTGTCATGTTGTGGAGCCACCTTAGCAGTTCTGTAATAAAGGAGATGAATGGCTACAGATAATCTGATCATTAACTGTGTCTACAGCTGACCTGAAGAACCATTGATAAAGCCCTTGGAAAGGCTATTTTACATTTAATTGATCTGACCAGAAGCAACATGAAAAAGTGAATCACTGCTGATACTAATGCTTGTACACTGGCTGTGGTGGCTTCTCTGCCCTGTAACAGTTCCACATTCCTCACCAGTGAGGGAGGTTAGTAAGCCTGCTGATCTGTCACTTGTTTTAGTGCTTTTCTATTTTTAAATGATGGTCAGTGTTAATTAACCAACCCTGTATAAAACAGAAAGTAACAGTAGGTTAAAGTTGTATGTTAATTATCATTTTAGGTGAACGTTCTCATTTAAGAATGTCACCAACGTTTGCCAGAATAAACAGCAGGGGTGTCTCTACCATTACTATATTGCCTGTTTTAGGAATGAGTCTATTGTGGTTTGTAAGGTTTTTATCAAGGATATATTTTTTTTTTTTTCAAACCCTGATTCCAATATCTGTATATTCTTAAAAATGAAAAGTTCATTACTCTATGAAAGGCTGTATATCATTCTATCAATGCCATAAAATTGTCAAATTACAATGTTGATTTTCACAATTATTTCTGGGATAATATATCATCCAACAAAAGCAGTTATTAGTCTTATATATGATCTTTCTAACTATGTTGTATCTTCTGTCAAGATGTTGGTTTTAGTTGTTCTCATACTCCTTATTTTGATTGTTGTTTTGATCAACTGATTTTATTTGTTGATCCTGCTGTGGATAAGAAAATCAGCTTAGCGGCTAAAATGTAAATCCAACTTCCAACTCATTGTGGATAAAATGCAGGTGCGTGCGTGCTCTCATTTGAGAGGGGGATAGCTTGGGGCTACAGAAGCTGACAGGCTGCTAGCTACTGACCCCAGGGGCAGGGGTGTTCTTAACAAAGAATCACTGACAAGGAGAGGCGAGGACATCTTGCCTGCTCTGCATTTTACCTTCAGGTTGATCTTGTCACAAGGTGGACGGTCCCATGAACAGCAGAGACGTGCATGCACATGTGTGCACGAACACACTTGAATCTATGCGCTGGGCGTTGCTGTGGCTTGTCACAAACACTGCCACTTGCAGGTATACATGCATGCTGACACCTGCAGTGTACATGATGTCCAGGTAGTGTACAGGAGGGAGCGTCCCCTCCTTGTGTATTCTCCTCTGGTTGCAGCAGGACATTGAAGTTAACAGGAGGAGAGTAGCCACCTGCAGTTCAGCATTGCATGACAGCAACTCTCACAACTGTTTCCGACTAGACCCCACCTGTCTCAACAGCCAATCATTTAGCTCTGCCTGCCTCAAGTCCAGACAATCCTCATGGCATCCCGGATCTCACTGCAGAGCTCAGCAGCCAATCTCTTTAATTCTGTCTGCCTGGCTTTAGTGCCCCCTAGTCGCTTATATGTCACTTTACCATTCAACAATCTGTCGTCACTCTTTGGAGTTGTGCGCCTCCTGACCGCAGTGAGTACCACAATCTAGCAATCCTTTTGTACTTATCTCATCCACAAGATAGCCTTGTGCAACTCATAAATCTCTATTCATTGTTCGTTTAACAGAGCCAGGTTGGCTGTATCGCTCTGCTCTTTATCTCTCCGTGCTCCTCCAGCCTCTGTCACCTTCTTCTTTGACCTCATCTTTCAAACAAATAAATCTGCTCATCAGACAGCAGTCCTAATGTGAGGAGCTGTGTGTTACAGCCCTCGGACGCGTCGAGTTGACTTTCACCTTTAAAAGATGCATTCAAAATGTCATAGCTCTCTGACATTTACTGGGTGTCGTGTGAATGTGTGTGTAGGTGCAGCACTACAGCAGGCCATTGAGTGAGGAGCTGTACAGCCTTGGCCCTCATCACTCCACCATCTGTCCATCAGCGCTTGCTTAATTTTTGCTCTCCCACTCTCTGTTTTACCCGCTCCGCCCTGACCCCATGTGTGTTTATTAGATTAGTAGGAGCACTCAGTACTGTCGGTCTACTGTTAATCCTTACGGTTATGCCTGCTAAGCTCCCCCCTCCCGCCTGACACCTGGTTCAGATGTGGAGAGCCCCACTCCATGGTTTTGTTGTTACAGAACCCATTATTACCACACCATGATGTCAGCTTTCTGTCAGTGAACACAGAGCACAGGCTTGGACTGTGGCCCCCCGCCCCTTTCTACTTGGCTGACTGTGTGTCTGGGTTTCACTGGAGTTGGTCTGCTTTTAATTTAGAGCTCTGTTTGTTTTTGAATCCCCCATCTCATCTCATGCCAGCGCTCTGACTGACCGAGGAGTGTTTGCAAACGTTCGGCTTGAAGACGGAAAGCTTTGCCTCCATCATTAACCCTGAACGCTCTGTACACGTGTGTTTGTGTCCAATGGCACACATCTCCCTTCTTCCTTGCGATTACCCTGAGTGACAGCTCCTGTAATGACAGCAGCTGTATCAATTACTCTGATTACTGCTCTCATTACGCTGATGACTGCTGCTTTGAGCAAGGGAGGAAATCAACTTCAGGAACACACAATACACACACAAAACCTGCCCATGAAAGATTGAAAAATAACAGGGTGGCAGGCAGGAGGACTGTTTTTCTGAGCTAATGCGGCCACCTGGTTGTGTCTATTTCTCAACTCTCTTAATCACTTTCCTCCTTTCCTTTTCTCTCCACAGTGAAGCCATCAAAGCCCAGGTGCTACATGGAAGGCCCTGCACAGGAAGGCAAAGACGTTATGCTGAGGTGCATATCTAGCGAGGGCACCAATCCCCTGAAATACACCTGGGAGAAGACCAGTGACAACAAGCTGCTGCCCGCCTCCGCTGTGTTGGGTAATAGACCCTTTCACCAGCACTACCAAACAAATAAAGAATAGTTTTCACACTCATGTCCTCTTTCTGTTTAACGCTGTCATCTCTTCATTGATGTGTTCTTTGCCCTCACTACAGATCCTGTGGGAGGTTCCATTAACGTGAGGAACGCATCTGCCAGTGCATCTGGCACCTACCGCTGCACTGCCAGCAACCGTGTTGGCACTGAGGAATGTACACTGTATCTCAATGTGACACCTCGTGAGTATCCAACTAACTTACTGTTGATGCACTAACCTATGTACCCCTACCTTTTGTACCTTCAAGAGTACAGGTATGTATCCAGCTGACCAAGATATATACATTAGCAATGGTATAATCATGATGTAATATTGACAGCTTTGTGAAGCAGTGTTTTGAGATAAATGCTGATGTCAGCTTGCTAACATGCTCACACTAGCAATGCTAAAATGCCGATGTTGAGTAGGTATAAAGAACTCCAAAGTCATTACAATTCATCAACTAGTTTGACTCAAACTCCAAATCCCCTTCGCTGCATGAAACAACAACAACCTTCAAACTAGCAACCTACACACTCAACATAGCAAGTTACCCTAACCTGGTCACTAACAGTACAAACACATTTAATTGCCCACATGCAAATGTTCCACCAAAACAGCACCATCTTGTTAGTGTGCTTATAAAGTGTGGTGCTGCAGAATGTGTCAGAGGTATTCGTTCTTCAATAACAATAATAACAACTTTTAACTTTTTGGAAACTTTTTTTCCATATGATTAGCTGAGAAGTGCTAGATGCTAAAATGCAGTTTCTTGATTGTTACGAGGCATGGACACCCAAAGCCACAGTCAAAGCGCCACTATACTTAACAAAATAATCCAGCACTGTATTTTGAGGTCTCCGTTGGACGCAGAATGTTATGTTATGTTATTATGTCATGTTGAAGTCATTGCTACCCACATTACATTTACGAAACCATCCGACCCTTTTTCTTCCTTGTGTTTTTCAGCTCCCAACACTGCCGGCATCGTCGCAGCAGCCATAATCACCGTTCTCCTGATCCTCATCATTATTGCCATCATCCTCTTCTGCTGCTGCCGTGCCCGACACAGGAAGAAGTACGAGAAGGAAATCTGCAATGAGATCAGGTACAGTCAGGAAAACATCAATGAGATCGAGCTTACAGATACCCAAAGCTCCCGTTTGATGGAAGAATATTGTAATACTGTTTACTCTTTGCTATATAGTGAGAAATGGGTCTCAGTTTGTATAATATTGAATTAAGCGGCAAGAATGCTATAGGGTACATGTGATCACTCTCAGCTCTCCATGTAATATGACCTGTGGTCATCTCAGATACACACACATGCACACACAACAACGCGTCTCCAGCAACCATGAAAATGTTTTTTCTCCATCAGCGTTTTTCTTTTTTTTACCCTTCCTCAAATAAACAGCTGTGGTAATCAGTTTGAAAGCTTTGTTTGCTCTGTGGATTCTGTGTAATGTCTGCTGCTGGCTGTCCCCCCACCCCCCTCCAGAGCAACCTACCCTAACCCCCCCTCACCATCCAACTATCCATCCGGCCCACGGGCTCTGTACAACCCCTGGGCTTACTATCACTCTGCTGCGGACTGAATCTGTCCTACAGCGTGAGCAGTGTCACATTGTGGTCTTAGACAAAGAGGATTAGACCAGTGGTCCTGTCTCGTATACACAGACACATATTCACTGAAACACCACAGCATGAAGCTGTGGACTAAACAAGCTCTGGCCCCTCAGGCTCAGTTTGATTGAGCATTTAACTGGATTATTGCTGCTTATTAGTTGTTAATGTGGTGGCAGAGGGAGTAGAGGACATAGCTGTATTTGGTTGCTCAGCTCAATCTCTACAGGCTATTACACAGTCTGTGTGGCTGAGCAGTGCAGACACTGCCCTAACCAATCAAACGGGCCAGCTCCAATTATTTGTCCCTCTTTATTGAGTCCAATCATGTTTCGCTCTTGAAATGACTCATGCAGACTCCTTAAGTATTCATTGTTTTCCTCACTGTGGGCAGCAAGTGCCAGACATTCCAGACTTTTATACCTGTGTGTCATCAAACTTTATTTTGGTTTATAGCACCTGAGGAGAAACTCATTTTCTATGTTCAATTTCTCTGTCTTGACATTCAGGTAATTTAATAAAAGTGAGTTTATAGTTTTGTCTTATTGTCTATATGTGCTGCTGTCTCCGTTTCCTCTCAGAGAGGACGTGCCCCCTCCTAAGAGTCGCGTTTCAACGGCGCGCAGCTTCACCGTGGGCAGCCAGCGTTCGTCCCTGGGCTCCATGTCGCCTTCCAACCTGCACGAGTACGCCCTGAAGCCCCAGTACGACAAGATTCCCTCATCAGAGGAGTTTGAGAGACCTCCGAGCCATGCCCCTCTGCCCCCGCCCAATGCTGTCAAGATGGCTGGCCCCAACCTCAGCCGCATGGGGGGCATCCCCGTCATGATCCCTGCCCAGAACAGGGACGGCTCAATCGTCTAGCCTGTCCTCTACTCGAGAGGAGATCGTGCAACAAGGGGAGGGAACGGAGGAAGGGAGTAGGACACAAGCCAATGAAGATGAAGATGGAGGAAGAGCTGGGATAGTCTGACTCGCCTGACTTTTAGCTCCTCATTATTTACAAATGGGAGTATACTCCACTTATGAAGACCTGGCTCTGCTCTGGTGCTGAGAAGAGAATTTAAGTTGTACTGGAATCACAACAGAGCACATTACATTTTTATCAAATACAAATACAAAAAAAAAAAACTTTTATGAATTTTACTTCCTGGACTTTCTCAATGAAAAATGGATATAAAGCAGAATGGTCAATATACAAATTATATTGTACATAAGTGAATGCATGTTCTTTTTTAAATATAGATGGCCCTCACTGTTTGTTCAAAACAGATCCAGGCCCCTAATTGGCCAGCTGTATGCATGCACGTATGTATAGAATTGCAGCTGTATGTGTGCGTGAATATAAGTGTATGTATGTGAAAGGGAGTTTGGGAAATGTATAGTTCATTTATCATCTTTTAATGCCTACGTAACACTATGATCATTTTTCAGGCAATCCACTACTAGTTTCTGAAACATTTTAAATTCCACAATTTTCTTGTAAAAGGAGATGTTCTGAAAGACAGACTTATTAGAAGAAAATTCACAGATCTGAATTTATCCTTCCACCGAGTTGAAAAATTGTCTATATAGGTCAGCCGTTTTCTGTTGAACCGTTGTTCACATTTTGAATTGTCCAGTCGGGGTTTGGGTGGGGGGCTGAAGTGGTCAGGATTGGCTGGTGGTGAGAGGGAGGTTCAGGCCCTCACATCTTGTGATTGGGTGGATTATTGCTTCTTGACCGAGCTTAAAAAAAAACAATAAGACTCCCACCCCTCCTCCAGAGATCTTAGAGTAGGTAGTGTATAGGAAAATAAGGGGGCAGCTGGACAGCAAGGTTCACTGAGCAATCGGCTTTGATTGTGTTTGACTGTCAACAGCCCCTAACCCCCCCGTGACCACCAGAACATGTCGGTCTCCCCAAACACACACACACACACACATACACACATACAGCATTAGCAGGACAAGAGCATAGAGTCTTAATCATCATCTGTAGTATCGGCCACCCCCCTCAGATGTCCTGTGTGTGTAATCCTCCTTATTTGCATTAAAAGGAGCCAATATCTTGACCTTCTCTCTGTGGTCAATATCAGACTGTGCATTGCTTCTGTAGTGTTAATTGGACTTTTTAATGAAGGATATAAAGCCTGTGTACATGAAGAAAGTGCCCACAAAGAGGAACAAAAGTGAAACGCCTTAGAATTCTGAATTGTACTGCTCTGAATCCACTTTCCAACCACTTTGGTTTGAGTCAATTTTGCAGTCTCTCAGTTCAGGATAACATAAATGTTCATTCAGTCAGTCAGTGTAAGTTGCAATAGGCCAGTCCTTGCAGTTTGTCTCATGTCTGAAATCATGTCCATTCTTCTATTGTTTGCAAAACATTTTGGAAGCCCAACATCTCATCTGGTCTGTTACTTTAGAAAACACAGTAAAAATACTTGCAGTGGGCAAACTGTTTCTTTTTGCTCCTACGCCTTATTCTATTCCTTATTTTAGCCTTACACACCTCCCCTCAGTTCACCTCTGCACAGCCCTCACAGCTGGATACTGAAAACTTCTATTGTGCCTTTTCGCCCCAGTTGAGTTGTGTCATAGCACAGCCGGCAATGTGCGCTGTGCTATGTGCAGTAGCATTGTCCTGAGTGGCCATCATAGCCCACAGCCACTAGAACAATATAATAATCAGCACACAGTGAGCCTATTGATTGTTTGGTTGCCTCGATCAAGTCTAGGATTTCCCACACACCCACTCACCCCATAGAAATTCCCCCAGAGCTTAACAAAACCTTTATCACTGTCTTAAAAGCTTTGATTTTGTATTCCAAAACATGACTTCATGGTTTTTTTTTAACTTTATTTAAAAGTACATAAATCTATGTGGTTTTTCAAAAAATAACATAAGTGGATCTGGCTGTATGTATAAATATCCTGTTGAAGTAACCCTATCTAATCACAACACAGTCGAATGATATAAAGATGATGTTTGTATGTATATGTGATTCTCTGCCGTGCTGTGCTTGGCAAATCTATATCTAAGGCAAAAGAGGAGGGGCGTGTGTGTGCGTGTGTGTGTGTGCGTGTGTGTGCGTGCGTGTGCGTGTGCGTGTGTGTGTGTGTGTGTGTGTGTGTGTGTGTGTGTGTGCGTGCGTGTGTGTGCGTGCGTTGTGTGCGTGTGTGCGTGCGTGTGTGTGTGTGTGTGTTACATGAAGGGAGTTTGCTGTCAGGATGGGCCCCTGTAGAATTCTAGTTAGACTTTCACCTGCTGACAAACTGTGTAGAGCTATTAGGGGGATAGTGCTGTTACTGCCCCTCTATGTGCTCAGAACATTAATGACAAATACTAACAATATTAACTGTAGCTTTGAAATCGGCGTACTAATATTGTATGGAGATCTCCTTTGAGGTTTGCACTCTGTGTGAAAACCAGTTTTTTCTTTTGTGTGTATTTTTTGTGCTGTATTTTTGAATAATAAAAGTCCATGAAATTTAAAAAAAAATATATAGCCAGCCACGTTTGTTTGTTTGTTTGTTTACAGAAGCATTAGCAGCTGTTGACTTGAGCATGAATAAAACTCAATTTCTCTCTAGTGGCGCGTGCTCTCCAGGGACTCTGCTTCCTGCAGCTTTTTGACTGTGATTAATTTTAATCAGCCAGTGAATTCCACCCCTAACACCAGGTGAGGTGACTTTCTAACCACTTAATGACTGCAATTAATCAATGAAGCGGGCAGACACAATGGCCACCTGCTGTCTCCAATGCTCGCCTTTCAGTTCCAGTATAAACAAGCAAAGGTTTGTGACCTAACTCGCCCACCACCATCCAAACTCATCCTGTGGGCCTAATGTTGACTCGCGGCCTTCCCCCTGCTGCACTGTACTGTGTACTGTACTGTCCGTTGCAGCCTGGCCACTTGTTTCATGTGCTTAGCTTTTTTTTTTTCCAATTACACCCAATTTCCCCCCTTAGTTAATGTGGTGGGTAATTACTTTCAGTGCAAGCCAGCACTAATCAAAGTTGTACAAAATTAGCTTTCTAATTAAGTATGCTGAATGATGTGAAATGCCTAGTTAATGACTCAGGGACATATGCCGGTGTTGTGTCTTTCTATTCTGACCACTGCCCTGCTCACACTCCACATAACAATATGCTGGTGATTTTGACACTGGGATAGGTCGATAACTGATTATTAGCCAATAGCTCCACTGTGTGCAGGCTGTTGACAGGTGGTCAATAAAAAAGACTGAAGCACTTAGTAGCAGTGCTAAACTGACGTCCATTGCTATAATTGGATGTCAGTAATAGATAGGGCCCAGGAGCATTGATCTGTGGCTAGTCGGAGTCACTCATGGATCCTAATGGCTCCCTACCAGCTCTGCACATCGGTGTTCTTGTATGTGCTGGGTTTGTTCAGCTGCACTGATACCTGCGCTATCACAGCTATCTTACAAATGGATGTGGCCGGATATAATGGTCCTTTTATGGCTGTGCATTCAAAACATTCATTAAAAGGACATTAGTGATAGGTGCTACAGCACGTGTGCAGATTAGATTTATGGACTAAACGCTGTTCTCTCATTGAATTAATGTACAATGAATCATGCATCATCCCTCACTGTCTTGCAGCCCAATATCCATTTGTGACATTTTTTTCCCATCATGTCCTCATTCACATAGCTGAAGGGAGAGAGTGGTGCTGTACTAAGCACCTGGGGATTTGTGCCTGCCTCCCACTTCCCTAGCTCCCTCCCTTCTGCCTGGGTAAGGTATTAATTGTTTGCACAGATCAAGGAGGCTGGTATGGCAAAAAAAAAAAACCTCATTGGTTCTCCAGGAGGGTTTCCTTGGCAACCTTATCTGGTTGTACACAGTCTAAGCCGGCTGCTAGCGGGTTGATTTATCTTGTAAAGTGTGATTCGCTCCCTGCTAACAAAAGAGGCCTCTAAAAGCACGGGTCTCCTCCAGTGTGACGTCTGCTGTCACAGACTTTAAGCTTTCTGCCGTTTTTAGAAACCTCAGTCAGGTTGGGAGAGGGTTGCAGGGGAATTCTGGGTAGGATAGAGGAATATGCATATGCATGAAGAGTGAGAGCTCCATCAGCTCCACTGGCACAGCAGTACATTAACATTTTGGCTCGGCGCTCTTAGCACTTTGGAAGTAAAATGACACAGATTATGATGTGAATGTAAGCTTTTACAGCCCCATCACATGAATGACTGAGGAGCTTCAGCCATTTTTGGAGATGTTCCCTCTCTTTTTTGGTTGCAGTAGTATTTAAATGGACACAGATTATGTTGAAGTGTAGAATCAGGATACAGAAATGGGTTAAAAAAAAGGAGCCTGAAGTCCTAGGTACGGGTGTTAAATTCTCTTCTGTTTTCAATTCAGGACCCTTTAATACTTTAATGATCGTAATATTAATATCGCACATGTGGGAGGTAAGTAACCGTAGTTATTTTAATAACACAACCAGTCCATCTGAGACTCCTGTTAAATTAAAGCTGACAGTCTGAACTTTAAATGCACAGTCATTGTGCCATGTCAAATGAAAAGGAATCTGAAAAGGAGGCAAAACATCAATGTGTCACCGTGCAAACACTCACTGCACTCAACCGTATGTCGCCTTGAACAACCTGCATGTTGTGGCTAGAGACGGCGGAGCATATTCTGCGGAGAGGGAGTTGAGTCCAAACCTGAGCCAATCATCCCACTCTGTCTGCTACGCCTGTAGACAGCCCAGATTTCTCATGAGGCTTACCCAGCTGCTGTGCACTCATTTGTCAGTCTCCCTCTTCTCCCAGTCTGGGAGGAGGGCTCTGGTGCACCTCCAACAGCCCTCCCCAACCCCTACCCTCTTCCCTTTGGTCGATATGGAGTCATCTGTTAAGGGCCAACCCCTGCGCCTATTGCATCTCAGCATCCTGTTGGGTCACTATTTCGACCCCATGCCGCTCGCATTTCGATGACTAATATGTGACTTTTGATGGATGACCTTCCTTTGTGCTCTAGGGAGACGTGGGGAGCAGCGGTGGATTGCATGCTGAGATTATACTCAGTCCAGGAACATCATGTTCATGTTTCATTATTTCAAGATCCCCCTCTCTCTGGGGGGACTTTGTCTGGTGAGCTTCATGGATCAGTGAGGTGGCACTCATCAGCAGATGTGACATTTTATTCACTGGTGGGAACCTTGCGTGGCGCATGAACGAAAAAGAGAGCAGCACTTAGCTCCTTACCACAGGAGACACTCCGCTTGTGGGGGAATTAACGGCATCAGAGCTCCTCGACCTGCTTCCATATGGCGCTGGAGGAAAAAAGGAAGGAGAGAATACAAGAAGGTTCAGACCCAGCCACATGTGCTCAGAGGCAGGACGCCTGGTTTAATTTCCTCACTCAGTGGTGGACTGTAGCTTCACACACGCAGTTCCTTTGATCTTTTGTCCCAACATTGTGCTCTGTTATCTCTTATCTTCCCTGAGTCAAGCTGAGAGATTGGAACCAGGGGAGCACTGTGGTTTAAACCCCGCTGACCAAGATGGAGGTTACACAGTGCAACTCAGCTCAGTCGTTTACAATGTGATTTGTACTTTTAATCTGCACCTCAGCTGGACTCTATTATAGGTGATCAACCTCCAATGCCATGTCATCAGGAGGGCACAGTGGAGGCCAACAATAAAATGTAGCCTTGGCAGGGGAATGGGGCTCAGTTTCCCTTTTTTGTCCCTCTGATGATTGAGGTCATCTCTATTATTACCACAGTGATGTCAGTGATATATGGTATGTCTGTCTCTCAGTGTCTGTCCATGTATGTGTTCATACGTATTAAGGCTGGGCGTGTGTATCCATGTGCAGTAGAATTACTCTGAGTGGCCACAGTAAGGGCAGAGGTCAGGGTGGTGATTTAACAGGATGGGGCAATCCCTTTTCCCTCTGCACGAGCAGAGCAACCAACCCTACCTCAGGCAATTTCCAGCGAAGCAATTAGACAGCGTCTTGTCTTGATGCTGGACACGTACCTCAGGCCACATTCACGGACTGAAACCTCCCCTCCATGCAGCTGTCCAGCTGTCACAGGTGCCAAATGAGACTGGATGGGGTTTGCATGGGGCAAATCTAGGTCCTTCCCAGTTTCTATGTTCACCATTCAACAGAAACTTTAATCAAACTTCAAAATGTTCAGCTCATTGAAGGCATTATTGAAATTAGTTTGTGTTTTTGTGTTTTACAATATGTATATATATTTTATAATATATATTCTTTTTCTGGATTTTTAAAAAATAAAGCAAATTGTTTGTCTTCTTAAAAAATTCTCTTCAACTTCCTCTTACTCCCACTATTTTTCATCAAACCGTACAATAATCTAAGCAAACTAACTTACACATTTTGTACTATGAGCCTCAAAGTGACAGGAGTACCATCCAACTGTCCCATTGACTCCAATGTTAACTGAAACTGGACATTTCAGGAGGGAAGCAGGAAAAGGGATTTCTCTAACCAGCTCTATTCCCCACATTTTTGAGACCACAAACCCGTATTTTACAGCAACGCATTCAGCAGAGTCCCCTCTCTCTCGTGATATATACATTTAGGTGACAGGAAGTATGGTCTTTGACTAATAAGCCAGAGTCTGAGAGCTGCCTCCGTGCTTAATGTCTTATTCAACAAACAGTCTCCCCCAGGAGTCACTCAGCAGTCACCGTCACCATGGCAACCATTAATTGCAGGTGGGGACACAGCTGACTGAGAGGAGCTGGTCAGACTGCTTCTGCTCTGTGGCTGACATTCCTCACCGCAGCTACAAGGTAGCACAACAATTTACAAACATTTTAACATTTTTAACTGTGACAATTCATTTGATTCATGTAATTGCTAAAACAGCTAGTTTTTTATCATGTATGCATTCCTTTGTGTAATAAGCTGGAGTCTGAGTTGGTGCATGTAGCAGTTGGTCACAGTTAATTGGACTTGGTGGATTCTTAACAGACAGTATAGGGGAAGCTTCCCTCACTATCCTATGCATACTTTTGAGTCCAAGCAGGCACATATCTGTATGTTAACCTCGTTATTAGTCATCCTAAAAATTCTTCTCAGATGGCTTTCATTGGACAAATATCCTTGACTATAACCCTCTGTACCGCAGCATTAAACCACATAATATGATTTATCTCTATAAATGCACAGGCATGTTTTACTTCATCACTAGCAAAACAACAGACGTGCACTCAAGGTCAAAGGTTTTTTTTCAGGAATTTAGGGTCTTTCTTACATCATGGTAATAACTCTTATGAAACAGGTTGCCAAACCAAGGTCACAGTTGGAGCTGACTCTAATGTGCAACATACTGTATATCCAGTGCCTGAAGTGTCCCGGTACTCACCAGTACCCAGTACCCAGTACCCAGTACCAGCATTTCTGAGTACTCTTATTGGGCGCTGCCACCTCTGGTAAGCATGACTGTACCCACTGAGGTCACAAAGGTCGGGGACGTATTGTTTCCAAGGGGTATTCAATAAAAGCTGTGAAATAATTGCCAAAGAAAACTACTCTGATGCTTTGACGTATACCCCAGAACTCCTAGCAGTTTTTAGGCCTCAGTATTATTAAAGCCTGCCTACAGCAATGGTGGTGAGCTTCTCCCAAAGGCCTGTGTCTGTGCAAACACACAGCTAGCTTAACGCTAAGAAAACAGCACTGAAAATGTCCTTGTTAAAAAGGATTTAAAAAATGCCAAAAGAATTAGAGTTATGTTGTGTTAATGGTTAGGGTTGTGCTGAATTAAGGTACTGGCACTGCGTATGTATAAAATCTAACGTTATATATATCCAGTATGTCCTTTACTGAGCAGTATGTTAGTCTGTGTACCACACTGCTTAACTGAACTTTAAAACTCGCTTTATCTGCCACAACTGTGTATGTAGCATATATATATATATATACATATATATATATATAGATATAGATAGATAGATAGATAGTCCCTCTGCTAACAGTTAGCTTGTGTCTCTTCAGGAAGGCCTTGCAAAGGAAACCACCCTGACTGCGCTGTGGGCCACAAACAGGGTAAGTCTTTGCTTCCTGTGCTAACACATTGTCAATGTGTGGGCTGTGATTTGCTTGCTGTGTGCTAGTATTATTGCTGCTGTGGTTTTATTGCTATCTCCGTACCTGCTAGCCTTTGCTGTTAGCTAGCTATCTGTTGTCAGTGTGTTGGATTGGGACCAACTGAGGGAATTAAGTTCTTGGATTAGGGTTAGGATTGGGGTTGGGGTTAGGGTTAGGGTTTTGTTGTTGCTGTTGTGAGAGGTTTCTGTTGACCCAAACAAACAGGGCCAGGCGGTAATATAGTCTGCTTGCTTTATGGATATAAACACGACCACTAGGGGAAGAAATACAGCGACAGTGCCCTCTTGGATGCCCCAGTGCCACAGACAGTAGGCTGCCCTACATGCTGGAAGATTAGTCGGTCTCTATGTGCCCCTAAATGAGTAAATAGTTAATAGTTCCCTGGGTTTTTTACTACAGATGTACTGTAGTTATACTACATATATAAATCTGAATCACATGATAAAACAACTGTAATCTTAACCAGGGTTGCTTCCTCATAAATGACTGACTTTGTGCACACAGGTGCCCCGCAGCCTGAGTCTGCCCCTCAGACAGCCTGAGTCTGCCCCTCAGACAGCCTGAGTCTGCCCCTGACCACATGTGTTGCACACTGCTCATTCACATATAACTGGCTTTTTTCACAGCAGACATTTTGACTTGTCATTGCAGGAAAGCAAGGGTGTAATTGATAACACTTATAATAGCTGCATCCAATTTAGCTCACTGGGATGATTTATTGGTTCACTGATGGGATTGAGCCATCATTAATGCTACTAGCTACACCTGTGCTAGCGCCAGCTTTAAGACAAGTTAAAATGTCTGACTGTAAAAGCAGGTCAAATTAACATGGAATCCAGTACGGCTTTTGTTACACAAGATAGGCGGCCGCATTCACTTGCATCTCCACAGGCCCTATATTTACCTATGCATCAGAGAAACTTTCCATCATAAAGTCTGTGTTTGTGTCAGCTGTTGTTGTACCATTCTTAATGACTTATTCATTATTATGGGATATGATTAATTGTGAACAGCTGTTGCTGAACTCCTGTTCTGTTTTATGCTGCTGCTGCTGCAGCCAATACCAATCTCATATCCATACTGATGGTCATCTACTAAAATGTTTAATAAGAAGAGGTTGGTGCTGATCCATGATTATTAGTCTTGAAATGATTAGTCTTTTAATTGATTAGTAGGTCACAAAGCATTAATCTGTATTTTGAGCTCTCTCTGGTTCCTGCTTTTTCAGATGTCTGATGGCTTTTCTGTTTTCTATCATTGCAAATTAGATCATTTTACGATGTTGCACTGTTGATCAGACAAAACAAGACACTGGAAGATGTTGCCTTGGGTTTTAGCTAGGTAATTGATTAATTTAGGGCTGCATAATTTGTTAAAAAAAATCATTGCAATTATTTTGACAAATATTGCGATATTATTCACAACGAGTGGAAATGATCACTCTTGTATTACAATTTCAATGAATAATAACTATTAAAATCGTGATGATGTGACATTTGTTGGGGTCTGTACCAAACAAACATGTTTTCTTACATCTGGAGAAGAAGATCTGTAGGCCAGGGAATCTCTGCAGCACTACAGTGCTTCATTATAATGCTGTTTATCACACATTTGACCTTCATCAAAAGACTGCAGCTTATGTGATGTGGATATTGCACTAGGCCATTTTGCAATTACGATAATATTTCAACTAATTGTGAAGCCCTAGATTAATTTTCTGGTCTAAGTTTGGTCTAAGAAGTAAAGGAAAGTTTGGAGTAATTTACTTTAAAAAATGACTGAAAATGCTGCAGCTGTAGTTGTAGTTGCAGCCCTGGTTTTTGTTTTAATATGCTTACGTAAATAATGATATGCTTCTTAGCCCGCTGCTGCATATTATTTTATTAATGTCATTTATTTGTAAGGGACCATGTACAGTATTAAACATTTATTTTTAAATTATGTATTATTCCAGCATGATCTTAAAGCTTATTGTCATCTCCCTTGGCAGGTCACAATTAAAACATCTGGTGAATTTAAGGGTTTAGATTTATTCATCTTAGTTGTGTATATAGTGTATTCCCCTTGTGGTCTGAGGTACTGAGCAGGGGAATGGCCACCTGTTGGCTTTTTCCACTGACCTACGCATAGTTGCTTCCACACAATGACTGGTGTTCGCGGTCTGTATCTAATGCGTTCTTTAGGGGAAAATTATTACCGTCGCTCCCCCAGTCTCTGCTGTGTTGGCTTGGTGGTCTATGCTTCTGGGAAATGAGAAGGTCAGAACTTAGACTCCAAATATCAACTCTGTACATACTCTGCATTCACATAATAATGCGTTCCACGTGAGTTGGCAGACTGAAATGTTCTGGTGCAGGAAAAACAGCTCTCGCAATAATTAAAGTTCATCTGTCCGCGCTAATGGAGCCGAGTCTCACAACTAATGAGGCCTCACTGCATTGGGTGTGTGTGTGAAGGTCATCCTAAACCGTCCTGGTGAAAATGAAATAAGATGAAACCTGCATTGTTTTCATGGTCAGGTATTATCTGGGTCATCGTGATGAGCCTGAACTAGAAGAAAGAATACATAACAAGTAGTAGTTGTAAAATGCAACATGTCTGAAGGACTCCAGCGTGCTGTAGAGTAGAAAGGAAAACAGTTATCCACTGCTGTCACAGTGTAGCTGTGTGTTTGTCTTTGAAGGTCATGTCTGTGTGAGAGCATTCCTGTTTTCATTCCTGCCTAAGAAAGGCAGTGCTCAAGTGTTTTTCTCCATCGGCTGAAAGTGTGATGACACACAGCTTCTGTATACATATCCATCCTCTTACTATAGTGCTTGTCTTCAGATACTTTCCAGCAGTGCAGCAAGTTATCATTCACAGGGCCTATGTGGCTTCAGCCTCTCAATTACCTCAGACATCAAACAACATACAGTATGAACAGTGATGTGGGAGGATCAAAAGAATCTATTAAAGTCAAGAAAACAATTGAATGTTTTGGAAAGGGCGTATAGCTACAGCTGGCTTGAACCTGGTGTCGGAATATGTTTACCCAGTGGTTTAAGCAAATAACATATCCGATGCCTCGTCTGCTCCTCAGGATAAATGTACATGTAATTCTAACAGAGCAGCCAGACCAGCACGTCTCATTCTGACCACTGCGAGCAGTCAGTGTGAAAGATTATTGGATACATGTGTCTAAAGCATTATGCTAATTTCCCAGGGTTCAGTGGAGGGCTGGATCTACTGTGCACTAATAACTGCGTTTCATATTTGAGGCCAGCTCTTGCTCTTTTGATCTCATCCTTCCTAGAATTTAACATTAGCCGCTCAGATATGTTACCCCATTTAAATGATTCAACTAACGATGAATGAATGAACTCTGTTTGAGAGGCCTGGGCATCAGCTTAATCCCAACAGCAGTACTGGTAGGCTTGTGTTTATAGCTTTATAGGCATTTTCTCAGGAGAGTGGAAACACCAGGAGAACATTCCCACTGAGAATGGGATGCCTTCCCATTTCTAAACAGGAAAGTATTTTTAGGAGCGAGCGGGTTTGTTTGGATGTGATTAGAACTGTTGTCAGCAGGGAGAAAAGACTATGAGCATTCCCACATAATTGCTTTTTTCTAGGGGAAATGGATGGTGTATTAGCCAGAGCCAGTGCATTGTAGTACATAATAATAAGGTGATAGAGGACATATAGTATATACAATTCGGAAGAGATAGTGAATCTCTGTGGGTGTTTTCTAGGTAGTTACATTCCTCTTATGCTATATGATCCTCCGTATTTTGCATAACCAAGAGACCTGTCATTTCCCAGAGACAGGTTTTGTTTACAATAGCATTGAGGCGTCAGATGTTCCTGTTTGCTGATACCATGCGAGCTCAGAGGCAGAAAGAGGTGTGGCACCTGTTATGAGACAGATGACTGTCAGTACTGGGATGAATTCCAGGCTTCAGGGTTCAGACAGCTGACAAGCAAGGATCGTGGCTTTATTTGCTTGTTAGCCATGCTCAAACACAGGAAAAAGACAATCAAGGAGTGTCTTCCACGCTGTGCTGCTGTTCCAGTTTTACAGCATGTATGATGATGGTATTCATTTCACTGCAAGGCAAATACCAAACACACACTGCTGGTCAGAGGAAGTCAACTTGCCAAACTGGTTCTCCTTTCTCAGGTCAGATGAGATGACAGGGCCATACTACCTGCTGTACAGCATCTCTCTTTGTGCTTCATTTGTCTCACCTTTCAGTATAGGAGTGTACACTGATGCCACCTTGTGTTCAGAAGGCTAATTACATGAATTGGCAATCAGTGTAATAAATAAAGTTATAAATGAGGTTTCTCACAGTGGAGGTTTTCAGCTTTAAATCAGGTCATGTTAACAGCATTGTGGTAGAATTAATAACAATAACAGAATATTAACTCATTGCCTTAGAGGCCCATCAAGCCATTAAGGAAGTGCTGTCTTTCAAAACAATGAACTTGAATGTTCAGACACATTTTCTTTAGTGCAAATCAATAGTCAGCTGGTCATTAAACCTGAATAACTGCAGCAAAGCGTTCTGAAAAAGATAGTAGAGCTGGAATGAATCAACTGACAGAAAATCTATCTGTGATCTGATAAAAGATAATTCAGGTAATTCTTTACATGTAAATGCCCTTTTTCTGACATTTTTAGACCAAAAAATAAATTTTCATTTATTTTACTTAACCTTTATTTAACCAGCAATCAATAAGATTTAAAAATGTCATTGTCAGGAGGGTCCTGGCCAAAATAGGCAGCAGTAACAATATATGACCAGTGACACAAGACAGAACAGAGCACTACATTACAACTTCAGAATTAGGAATAAAAAATAACCAATAAAATTTGTAATTATATAAAAGACAACCTTAATATCATTGTGAAACAACCCAAGAGCTGTCTAAAACCAATCAAAAACAATGACTTTATGAGGCAACAAATATCCTAAACATTGGCAGCAACAAGAGGTTCCACTGAAAGATGAAGAAGAAAATAATTGTTGGTTTGATTTGAACGATTTAACAAGTTGAGTTAGAGTTTTTAGTTGGATGATCAGTACATGAAACCTCTGTAAAAACATCCATCACTTACCGATCCACCAGACTTGCTGACTGCTTTTGTTGTGTTTTGCGTCATCAGTCTTCTCCGTTGTTGTCAGTTGTCAGTGTGTTGTTTGATAAAGAAGTTGCATTTACAGGATCCCATTTGCACTGAATCCCAATCAGACACCCTACAGTCAGTCCTCATTAATCAGACATCTCTATCTATCAGCACAGTGGATGCTGTCTCTCTTTGCCGACTTATAATGTTTCTATTCCTTCCACGCAGTAAGTCCATCTGATTTTTGATATTGACTCAATCTGGCTGCCGTTTAGGTTAACCACTGGCTTAATTCAAGAGTTTGGAGGAAAATTTGAAGTGGTGTGAATACACCGACTGGATGCTTCATCACTTTATGCACATTTCCCTCCAAAATAATAAGAATGTAAGGATTTTCCAGTAGTTATTCTAATCCGTTGGTATTTTTCATGTGTGGTTCCTCACTCACAGCAGTTTCCTCATCTTTGTCCACGTAAGCGTTGCCTCTGTGTCTCTGTGCCCTGGCAGGATGTGGCAGACGAGGCATATCGAGGGAAGAAGCTTAGATACATTAAACCTGCAGTGGAGGCTGAAAAGCCAGGTTCTGTCCAGGGGAGGAAGGATTTGTAGCAACATCCAAAAGCAGTTTACTCAGGCAGTTTAGGATTTGGTTGGTCAGTGCTTAGATTAGGCTGTTCTAGAAATAGCTGGTTTGAGCATCCAGCAGCTCTGGCTGAAGGTAGAACACAATAGCTGTGATGTAGAGTTTGGAGGTGGATCTCATCATGACTAAGGTGGATGACATACCTGAACTGCTGACCAAGCAGGAAGGAGTGAGTTATTACAGAGCGATGGTGAGAGGAGAGCTGAAATGATTTGTTGACAGAAAACTGATCTGAAACAATCACTTAATTATCTATGATTGATTATAGAAAACTGAATATTGTAAACTAACTGAACATTTTCACTTTCATTTTCACTTATGTTGGGGCTTTTATTGCCTTTATTTGATAGTGACATGAAAACAGGGAGAGTGGGGGGGGGGACATTTAGCAAAGGGCCACAGGTTGGAATCCAACCCGGGCCTCAATACATGGGGTGCATGCTCAATCAGGTAAGCCCTAGTTTTTTTCACTATTTTCTTATATTTTATCGATTAAACAATTCATTAAACAATTCATTGAACAAATTATCAGCAGATTAATCACTCAATGAAAATTAGGGAAGCAAATACCAATTATTGTCATTATCAATTTAATGTACCGATTAATGGATTAATTGTTTGGTCTGTAAAATATCAGAAGTTAGCAAATTGTGAAAAAATGCCACACCCCAGAGCCCTTTACAGTGATATATAAAAGAAAACACAAAGATATGCAGCATATCCTCACATTTAAGAAGCTTAAACCAAACAATAATTGGAAATCTTGCTTGAAAATTGTTTTTTTTTATTAAACTAATTTAAAAAATAAATTGATTATTGTTTGTTGACTGACTAATAGTTGCTGCTGTAATTATAAGAATTGTCAGTTGTAGGCCAAGGTGAGACTATCTCGTAGCAGTTTTGAGGGCCTTTGTCTTGTCTAGCTTGTATTTCTAGCAGTTTGGCGCCCTCTCCTGGCCCAAAACCTGAACTACCACACACTGTACTAACTGCACTCTCAGGTCTGAGAGCAAAATTACTGTTGGTCCCAGGAGCAGGAGGCATTTACTTGGCAGGAGGAAATACAAGCATCCCACATTTCCCACCAGTAACGGATAGAGCCAACATTTGATTGATGCATGACCTGGGTGCTTCGGTGCTAAACATCAATCAGAGAAGGGTGCATGAATGCTGTGGTTATTCAGTGTAATGGGAATGTCAATAACTCTTGCATCCTCTGATGAATACACAAGTAGCTTGCCATGATTCACCAGTGAAGGCTGCTGATGTTTAAAGCACTGTTATTGAACCAAGCACAAGACCTCACTTGTCCAAGTGACTGATGTGGTGTGATGCATGTTGTTTCTGCGGTTTTAACTGTTACCAAGTGGTTTTCTAGTAAGTCAGCACCTACTGGTACAGCAGAGAGGTGAGAAAAATGTCATCATGTGGCTCTTAAGGCCAATTATTTGGTGACTGTATCAAGTGACAAAATCTTCATAGCTAGAACTACACAGTCAGTAGCACGTAAAATACTTACAATGCAGGTGAGAGTTGTACCCAAGATAGTTTATCCTCCGTGGGAGCCTAATGGGAATAGTCATTAAATGTGTAAGCGAGTGTCAAAAAGAAACATAGCCTGTTTACTCAGTTCAGTGGATGTAGGAGGAGGAATAAAAGCCCCACAGACAGGGTTAGTACACATTTTTTAATAACATGGCACAATTTACATAACACAAGTTTAAATGAGGAGCATGCTGAAGATTCAGTCGCTTCATTTTTTTCTCATTTTTGTACATGATCTAGAAAGACTTCATTTTTTTCCCTGTACATGGTAAACAGCAAAAAAGGTTTCTCATTTAACAATCTTTTTGCAATACGCATCGACTAACCACTATGGCTCCGGTGGACATTTTTATGTTGGATTAAAAAACACTGCACGACATGATATCACAGAGTTTGAAGCGCACAACTAAACCTTCAGTGGACTACTAAAATAGATCTCTGCTCATTAGAAACAAACTGTCCATAGTTTAGACCATAGCTTTTTTGTCTTTTGATTTTGTAGGTACAACAACTTAGGAAAGCACTTTAATACAGTTTGACCAACAGAACCTATTTCCAAAACATGTACTTTACACTCCTTCAATAGGGCAGATGTGCTGTCATAGTGTTTAATATGCTGCATTCTCCCCAGAACAAGACTGGTGGTAACTGAGTGAAGGAAGAATGGGGGGAAAAAATGAAGAATCTTAACATTTGCACTGCTGGCTTTTTACACTGAATATTCTTTGAAATGCAATACTTCCATCAGCTGTTTCTAGGATTGTCACCACAATTTATCAATTTAACCCAATTGACTACCTACAAACCCTGTGTGGATTCGTTAAAGCTTGTATCTGTTTGCGTGGACCCAAAGTGTGTCAAGTCTGAGTTGTGGAGAGAATACAGCTTTTTGTCCTTTATTGGTACACAGTCAGTAGTGGTGAGAAGGCCAGCTTTCAGAAAGGGAGCCCAGACATTTGTTGCATAGTTGAATATGGGGTCTCTGGTACAATGCTAATCAGCTGCGTCAACCAAAAAAACAAACAGCAAAAAGCACATTCTGAATCACCGCTGTAATACTCCTCCTATTTACATGTGTTCAAAGTAAAGCTTTCAAAACACCCTTTTGCATATTTGTACCATGATTTTTAATCCATACAGAGCGAGCACAGCGACTGTACACATTATCTACACACTTTGCTGTCTGTCAGTGCTGAAGTACCTGTACATTCCAAAATTGGAATTCATTCTTACTCACGTCACTTCGCTTTACAAGAGAAAGAATGACCACAAAAAAACTGGAGCAAACTGGAAAAAAATCTTTGAAAAATCAATTTTTTGTTCCATGATTATTGTCTCTGTAGTTTTATACAAAAACAATTCATTGTGTGGGCATGTCTCTGCCCACATAAGTTATTCACAGCTATGTTACAGTCTTGCTTTGCCCAAAGCTAAGTGCTTGGTGTGAGTTCAGTGTTAGTGAGGCACAGGGCAGCAGGGACACTGAGTCTACGGAGGCTCAGCTCACCGTGCCTCGATGTCTTTGTGAGGCGGTCTGTCTCTGATATCTGTGGCCAGGGGAGTAGTCCGTCTGGGTGAGCCGGGCCGGGCACCCAGTGTGGGGATAAGTGGAGGTGGTGCACTCAGAGAGGCGGTGGGTGGCGTTTTGTTGAGGATACCGTTCTGATGGGCTGCTGCAGCGGCAGCGGCTGCCGCTGCTGCAGCTGTGGGGCTGACCCTGGAGTAGTGCATGCCTGGGAGTCCAGGAGCCATGAGGCCTTGGGCGGGGTGAGGAAGGTGTCCATCAAGGGCTGGATGGTGCATTGAGTGGTGGAGGCGCCCATGCTCATAGTCCTCTCTAAGCATGTTGAGCCGTTCGCGCTCCTCCAGCTGGGCACGCTCCTGCTCCCTCCTATGCTCCAGGGCCAGAGGGTGGATGTGATCCCGATTAAAGTCATGAGGCTCGCGATCCCTGTACGAGCGCTCAGCCTCGTAGAGGCGAGGTGCTGCCAGCCGGTGCAAAGGATCATTCCTCAGCAGCAGGTCCCTAGCCAAAGGATCCCGTCTGTGAATGTCCAGGCCCCTGTAGGGGTCCCTCATCGGGTCCCAGTGGAAGGCAGGGTAGGGGAACCTGTCAGCTCCTGGGATAGGGCTGATACCCATAAAGGGTGCCACCACTCGAGTTCTGTCCAGACTGCTGATGGTGTTGATGGGGTGGACGCCAGCCATGCCCATGGGCACAGGCATTGAGGAGGGAGGGTGGAGGTTTGGCGTGGAGGGTGCCTGTGTTGGGTGCTCACTTGCCCTCTCTGTGGCTCCTTCTTGCTCCTCCTTCCGCTCCTCCTTCACTTTTACCTCACTGTTCTTCTTCTGGTGCTCGTACGGCAGCTCTACCTTCTTCTCCAAGACCTCCCTGCTCAGGCCGCTGTTGGGACGTTCGAGGCTGGTCTGCCGTATGTAGGGCGATGCTGCCCCCCTATTGGACACCTTGTCCTCTGACACTCGGCTGTCATGGATGACAGGAGTGTCCTTGTCGCTGTGCTGGTTGTCTTTGAGCTTATGGTCATCTGTGCCATTGTCTTTCCAAGAGTCTGAGTGTTCCCTCTCCCTGTCTTTGGCCTTGTTCTCCTTGTCCCTCTGAGGCTCTCCAGAAGCAGGGGGCAGATGGTTCCTGTGATGCTCAGGAGGCCTGTTGTGGCCAAGGAGGCTGATGGGGTTGACAGGGACTGGGGACGGATGGCTTGGATGACGCTTTTCTACAGAGTCCCTAGAGGAAAGAAGGAAAAAGTCCCCTGCATCAGTACCAGTAACTGAGCTTCTGTCCAACAGATTAACTGTGAGGCTCATTCCATTTTTATTCCAAATTCAAACAATGAGCATACAAAGAAGCATTTCACTGCTTTACATCACAACAAAGAAAAATAAAAAGAGAACAAATCTGATATCTGATAGCTAAGCTCCTGCTAATCTGATTATGTTCTTGGAGTGATGCAACAGGAATGACTTTTAGCAACACCCACCTGTCCTTGTCGTCTTTACTGACCAACGATTCCCGTTTGTCAGAGTCTCGGTCCCTCTCGTGTGAGCTGGCCGAGGTGCTCCTCTCAGAGTCTCCGGGTTTCAGCCAGGGTGGCGGTGTGGGGAAGGAGGGTGGGGTACGGTGCAGGCGGTTCCACGGCTCCTGGTGGCCACTGTTACTGCCGCTGTTGAAGTGCTGCTGTGCATTGGGGCCATCTTTATGGCCGAACACGGAGTTGGCCGCTGCTAGGGATTCAACACGTGGAAAAACACGGTAGGACACAAGTTAAATGCGTATCTCGACAACATGCACTGGTGTACACCTGTATTTCAATTCTACTCCACTGATGATACAGCATCAATAGTATCATTGCTGAGGTTGAAACTCACTTAGTGCTGGATTTCCCAGTCCCCCAAAGGCTGATGAACTGAGGGATCCCAGTCCTCCAAATGATGTAGGCCTATTGAAAGGTTCTGGTAAGAGACACAACATGTTACCATGCATACAATCATATGTTATTTTTCCTATTTCAGATCAAGACTGAAGAGAACTGAACTGAAGGGTCCTTTTACCTAAGTGAGATGCTGGGGTGAGGAAGTTTCCAGGATGGTGTGGTGGGTGACCGAAAGGACCAGCTGATGGGTGTGTGGGACCTGAGGAGGAAGAGACATGAGGCCTCACAGAAATATCCTGAACAGTAGTTTAACTACTAAACTATTCACTTTTCCTGAAACTTTCAACTAGAGCCTGGCTGATAAATGCAGTATAGAAATGTCACAGATGTTTTTGCTTAGTTTAGAAACAGTGAAACAATACATCCTTTGTCCATTAGAGAGCACTAACAAACTTATTTTTTCACTGTAGAATGTCCAGCTCAGTACACATCTCTGACTTTAAGAAATCCCAGTGTTTCCCACAGGATGACAGGGGGAGGGGTAATATTTATCTATTGAAAATATTTGAAAGAATAGGCTACATTAGATTATCTTCTTAATTCACCAACTACTTTTCCCTTGCTAGCTCCCTGTATGTGTCTCTGTTCACTTTCTTCAGCAGTATGTTTTTTGAAGTCACCCTAAAAATGTTTGTTTTTACAACAGCAGATGAATGCGTGTGTAGGATGCTACGTCATCATCAGGACAATGATTTTGGGTGGTGGGGCGTGAACTTTTTTCAGCTTCTGAAGGGGGCATGCCAAAAAAGAAAATTTGAGAACCACTGATCTAACTCAAAGTGCTTTAAGTATTAATATTGGTATTGTATTGCTAATATCTATAGAAATAGAAAAATGTGTATATTTATCAGGGTTTAGCAATTGGCTGAATCCTAGTCGCTAGTTGTTTTTTTTGTCATTTTATTTAACTAATTTATTGGTCTGCCTCCGAAGAATGAGAGCCGCTCAGTGACAGACGTTCAGTAGACAGTACACACACTGCGCTGCTTCAGAGAGGCGGCGACAGCACATAGAGCCAGAATATTTTCAGGTTTAACTCTGTTAGATGGTTTGACAGCACACTTGGTGATTGTTGGAACAGTTTAAAGACGGTTTGGTGAGCTTTATTTTGTTGCTGTCGAGTTTGAATGAAGGTACAACAAATCTTTGGTGAGTTTATTTTCTTTATGAAAGCTGTCAGAGCTTTATGCATGTAGCAAACTAGTTGATTAGATGGACTACACTGACAGTCACACTGATTGATGTTATTTCCATATTTTGGACAAGTTCTGTTGGTTTGGCTGTCTTGGTTTGTTCACAGATAAACTCTATATCTTATTATCTTATTAACAATAATAGGATAAGACTTTGTTGATGAAAAGAATATCACCAGACAACAGTTCAGTCTGAACAGCAGGAACTGATGGACTGCTACTGAATGTCAGAGGGTATTGTTGTTAACCATCAATCAATCTTCCTACCCAGAGATCTGACACACTCACCTGCAGCGGAGAAGAGCGTTGCGGGACGTGCCAAGTCGCTGGGGTGATGGATGGCACCAAAGAGGCTGGGGCCTGGAGGTCGACTCAGGAACTCAGGCTTGAGGCCAAAGTCTAGCTTGTGAGGGTCGACCTGCATCTGCTGCTAGAAGATGCCAGATTGACGGAGAGAAACACATGTAAAACCCCTTTACACAAATTATCACTATCACTTTATTTTTGTCATTTTTATTTTAAAAGGGACCTATTATACTTTCCCTTTTCTATGTATTGCGTTACAATGTTGGATGATGACATTAAACAAAGCCAAAGTGTCAAATAATAAGGAAAACATATGTAAAAGTAATCCCTGTGAGCAAAAAGCTTGGATTTCAGATTTTCTGCTCTGAATAGTTCAACATTTTCAACCTTTTTTCTACTTTACGTGACAACCATATGATTGTGGCAGAAATCTTTATATGGTAATCTACTCCAGGCACTGCATGGGTAAAGTAGCTAACTGCTAACAACCAGTGAAGCAATCTGTCCATCAGGAAACTCCCTGAAAGTTGAAGCAAAGCAGCTGGTGGACGAAGAGGAAGACCAGAAGATCTTTTCTTCATAAAATATGATACAGTCTTACCAAATACAGTAATTAATGTAACATTTGGAAAGTCTAGAAGAGCTGCACAGTTAAATCATTTTATCCCCATTCAAGTTAGCGGAGGGCTAAACTGTAAGTTAGTCAGCTCGGCTGGTTGTAGTCTCTGGTGCTCACAGCCAAGGTGCTCACAAGCACTGGGTGCTGCCTCTCAGCAGCATGCTTGTTTAAGACAGACTGAGGAGCTGCATGAGGCCAGTACAAGCCAAATAAGGATGGCTTTGAAGAGTGAATCATGCAAAGCTAGTCTAGTCTCAGACTAAGATTACAGAGCTGGCAATGAGCGTAATAGGCCCCCTTTAAGTAAACCACAGTAGGTGAGCAACTAGATAGTTGTCTTGCTCAAGGACACTTTTTGAGGTGTGGTAGGAATCAAACCTAAGATCCTTCAGGGACGAGAGACTCCCTCTCATGGCCATGCTACACTGAATTACACTCTAAAAGAAGACTGCTTTGCTCAGTGGACCCATTATTATAAACTCAAGATGTGACTATGACTGCTGAAGCCATACAATTAAAATTACTTGTTGCATTTTAATCATTTGTAAAGTGACTTGTAGTCAAGGCAACAGTAGAATTACTATCACAAATCACCAAATATCAAATGACTACAAAGATCAGCTTCTGTCTTTAAAATATTATTTTGACCACAGAATGACCATTTAAGAAGAGAAGTCCTAATCCAGTAGAGGAACTAGAACTGTGTCCCAAATCCATACTACACACCACTGTTCACACAGTAAAGTGACAAAACAAAGTTTACTTAGTCAGTCAGTATACATACTTAAAAAAACATTTAAGTTTGATGTCAATGGGCACTATTCTCTCACAATGCATGGCACAAAGGAAATGGAAGAGCTTCTCAAAGCTGGAAAAAATTAAACTAATTATTACTGAGAATGAACTCTAGAAAAGTTTGCAGTTTGATTGCATAATTTCTTGTATACTAACTGAATAAAAACTGAATTCTAAAGATTAGTGCATAGTATGGAATTGGGACACTGTGTTAGTACTTTGGCACAAAGCAGAGAAATAGGAGTCAGATGAGTTCTCACCTTTACTTTCTGTTGGTGGTGGTATATCTGCCAGGCGATATGGACATGCATGGCACACCACTTCCCTGGTTTCTGTACATACAAGACAAAAACATGACAACTTTAGTCTTTAACATAACAGTAAGGCCACCAGAGGTGTGTGTCAGGATGCAGGAGACTGATACACTGCAGGGAGTGAGCACTCACCCTGAGAATGGGCCGAAATGGATCCGTTAGCTACAGGAGGGAGAGGGGGGAAAAGATTTCATTATTTTTCTGTCAATCAAATCACCTGTAATTAGTCTCTGTGTGTAGCATTCATTATGAACCAAATAGAATTTCCCTTTAAAATTTCAGGAGTGATTAACACTTGGGTGCAGGAACACACACAGACAGTTCTTTATAACGACACTACTTGATGGTGAAAAGCTCCATTTGATAACTCGAAGGCTTATGCAACATATACAGTGGGTCTAAAGGTTACCTCTACATAGTGAGTGTTAGTGTGTGTGCTCTTACCCTGGGGTCCTTCTGTAAGAATGTGTGTGGGACGGCTCCAGGTCTTGTGGACACATCGAGTGGGTTAGAGGTCTAGAGAGCACCAGACACAGATCGAAACCAGATTCTCTGTAAATAACTCCTATTTTCAATTTGTCTGGCTGTGTGTGAGATTGTGGGTGTGTGGCGGTGTCCCTGTGTGTCTTACCTTGGGCTGAAAGGCGCCCTGCAGCGAGCCGAAGGGCCCGGTCGGGGGGGATGACGGGGGAAGGCCAGACATGGCCGGTGGGTAGGAGTGGAAGAGCTGAGGAAGAGGAGGAGAGGAGGTTTGAGGATGGTTCGGTCCTTCAGCACAATGCAGGACAACAGCTTCATAATACAGTGTGAGATGGAACAAACAGCTTATACTGATGGATGAACATCATTCAATCTTTTTTCAATTTTCCATTCTAAGACTGTTTAAATGGGGAATTGCCTACATGTTTCACAAACTACGAGTTTATAAAATATTTTACTGCTCATCCCCAGTGGATTTAAATAAGGGAAACACTCCTTTGAAATGAAAACTAGAATATTGTAGTACAAGCAAAACACATGGAAACCAAACAAGTGCTCAAAGCTTCCATAAAATTATCCTGCAGAGAGATCTGATATGTAATCCACTACTCAATATAATTGTTCTTGTCAATCACATTAGTGAAAGTAGAGAATGTTTTTCATGTCTCTGAACTTGCATGCTTGCATTGCTTTAATCATGGATGGTGCAACAGAATTATTTAAACTTGGGTTGCCAGGGTGAGTTATTACAAGCACTTGAGGATGTGCTGTGAGGTTTTATGCAACTTGTGTTTCCTTGTGCATCATGTTTAAAATGTCAGTATGTTTTATAGAGAGGAAATGGCTTCAGGGTATTTGCTGCTACCATAATAACAACAAGGAAATACTAAGAATCAGAAATAAAGCACGAAAAACAAACCAGCAACATTCTTCAACATGAATACATGATTTTTCTGATATAAAAAATCTTCCTCTGCAGCTCAGAGGGAGAGTTTTAGGAAAACCCACACTTGTGCAGGAACACACAGCAGGTGTTTGGAAGCTTCAGCAAACATGGTATGAGAATGGGGTCCAATGTAAAATCAGTCCCCTTTAGTGAGTAATAATTATGAGCAAGCCACTGCTGTTAGCAGACAAATACAAATGGAGAGTAGTAAGCAAGACAAAGATATAGTATTCCTCTGGCGATAACACAGTCTCCTCGGTAATGCAGCCACTGTCTCTTTCTGTATTAATTTCTATGCACAACAATTTCACCGTTACATGCACGCACAATAAATCTTGTGCTCTGAGATCTAAGAATCCAGCACTGTTTCATTAATCATTACATTTGCTGGGGCTGAGGGGTGAAATGGTACAGCTAGGATGCTTAGAGTATCCATTAAGAAGCAGATGAGCGATTGCATGGAATCTCAAACAAACAAACACGCACACACACAAACACACACATACACACAAAGCTATAACACTAACTCGCATGGGCTTGAATGGCATAATGGGCAAGCAACAAACTGCTCTGCAGGCAAATAGTACGCAGTAGGGAAACTCACACTGTGTCTGTAGAAGGGATCAACTTTTGTTGGGTATTTTTCAAACTGTAGGAAAAATGAAACAGAGCTAAGTACAAAGATGTAAAGAAAACATGATAACCTACACACATACTGAAACAGGGTTGAGAAAGCCTCTTTCAAGGTCATTTCAGGCCGACACAAAATGCATCACAAACTGTATTTCAGGACTAACAAAATGCTTACAGATTGAGATTATGATTCAAGATCTAAAATGTCAACTGAGATTCAAAGTTCAACCACTTCCCAAACCAGACTGTTTTAATCCTCCCTTTTTCGCGATCATCTGAAGACCTTGTAAACTGGAGTGGGTTCTGTGTCTCATTTGGTCTGCTTTTAGTGGTGCAGAGCAGGCTCAGGGCGAACATTTCCCCAGTCAAGACTAAACACTGCAGCCATAAAGAGCCTTTTTATGGCCTCATTAGCTGTCAGAGGCCTCGCCATGCTGCCTTTGAGGTATCATCAGAGCCAAGTGAACCCTCTATGGGCCAGGCAGTTACAAATGTGTGTGTCTGTGTCTGTGTGCATGTGCGTGTGTGTGTGTTTTTTAGGTCCAGCCACCCATTGCCTGTGGTCTCCCCCAACAAACAGCGCGGCTCTTAATGCAAGGCATTTGCCAGTAATGAAAACCGCCAAATGGGACCAAATGATGTCATTAAATTCAGAATGAATTAAGTGTATTATGTTCTGAAAGCTGGCTCTGAAGTTAACATGCTTTGGGCAAGTTATTGCCAATTTAGAAAATAACGGCGACTCAAGTCTGGAGTCCTAGAGTATGCCAGAGAAAACACTAGAAAGGCTTTCTGGGAGAATAAAGGCATCATTGTGGTGTGGACGGACACACATGGTCAGCATTGAAAGGCTGCCACAGAAACCCACAGGTCCCTACAGCGTGCTGCTCACACACATGTCGATCTGTGTAAAATCTTCACTCTCACAACCACAAGGTGAAAACACTTTCAGTGCCATGCCCGCCCACTCTTCTACACATGTAAAACTCATTATTAGAAGACATATAAAAACATTGGCTATGGTGAAGTTTCGGCTCCCTCCACCCTCTCCACCCCAACACAGTTGCGTTCTACTTATCCTCACATTTCTGGCAGGGGTACGCACCATGGGCGGTGCTGGGGTGGGCATGATGGCGTGGGGGAAGGGCGTGAAGGTGTGCTGGTGGGTGTGCTGGTGGGTGTGTTGGTGCTGATGCTGGTGCTGATGCTGGTGCTGGTGGAACTCAGTGCGCAGGTAGGGTGGAGGGCCCAGTGAGGCGCCGCGGTCGGCACTCTGGGAGGCCAGGAAACGGGTGTTGAGCTCCTGGCGCAGAAGGTCTTGCTCTGGAGAAGAACAAGAGGGAAGTTATGATTAGGACTGGTTTTCTTAATGAAGGGAAGGTGACTAACAAGTCTTCTCTAGCCTTTTTACTTAGCAGACTCTGAACAAACACATTGAGTATTCCTCATTTTGCTGGGTCCCCTGGAGGGCCCTGGACTTCAGTGTGAGAGCTGCATATGTCATCAAATATAAAGCTATGTCAAAGTGATAAAAAAAAGAAACAACCAGGAAATAGCTGTGATTATCAGCATGTCATTTTAAATTTAAACCAGGCTTGAGATGATTAGAGCTGTCTGACTGCTGGAACTGTCAAACGCTGTGATTTGATACACTACCGCCCCTCTGAGACAGCAACATCTGTTGTTCTAATAACCTCTGTGCAGTCTGTGAAGAAAAAATGGATTTCAAGAAATCACTGGCTTTTCTTCTAAATCCAACAAAACCGGCCTTGAGAGATTACATCTCCTCCAGAGTAACCTTATCCTTCCTATTCCACAGTGACTCGCAACAATATTTCCTGCATTCATTTCAAGCTTTATTGGGCTGGGAGTCGGGGTGGAATTTTCTCTTCATAAAAATTTCATTAGTATCTTTTGAACAAAATCCAGCTCACTCCATTCCGTATTGACTAAATTGATTTCTTGCACATGAACACTATTCCAGGTGAAAATGGAAGTTCTGGGAACATCGCTAAAGGCAAGCCCCCCTCCTCTTCCCACACACTGACCCTGACATTTAGCTCGACAGCCTGGCACAGAAATGTGCACGGGGTCTGTAATGGCTTTTGCAATGTGGCCTGACTTGCTGGTGGATATTACTGGTGTGTAGAAAGTCGATCAATCAGAGCATGACAGACAGAGTGTGAACTTGAACTGTCCACACGACTATAAACACACAAAACCCCAGGCATGGAGAACATGTACATTATCTCTGTGGTTTGTTTCTTTAAATAATTACGAGGGTAACATTCTGTCTCTGACCCTTCCAATCAAATTCTACTCTGAAATAATGCCTCCTGCACTTCTCGTATGTCTCGATCCGTCCTGGCAACCTGAGGCTAAACTGGCTAAAATAAGAGTCTGCTTTTTGTTTTTTGTCAGCTAAATGTGCAATCCTCTGCCACACCAGCTGGGGGCGATGTGGAGGGGTTTGCCAGCAGCAGTGATGTTTACCTGAGTAGGCACTCCCAGCAGCAGGATGTCCGGGTACTGGCAGGGTGCTAGACGTAAGTGGTGGTGGTGGAGGCAAGGCCGCTGGAGGAGCGAACATATTGGGGTGATGTGGGTGCGGCGAGGACTGCAAGGCAGGGGGAAGCTGTGGGGGGTGTTCTGGTTAGCCGCCAAGGGCAGGGGGAAGTTGGAGGCTGCTGCTGCGGCCGCTGCAGGAGGAGGTGGGTGGTGGGGGAGGTGTAAGGAGGTAGCAGGGGGCCCGTGGGGCTTGGTGCCTGGGGTGCTGCTCCTGCTGCTGCTGTAAAGAGAGGGAGAGAAAAAAAGAGAAAGATGGAGAAAGGAGCCGGGTTAAGCCAGGCGTGATCAGTCAAAATTAACACTTGTTCCTCCACATCCCCTCATCTCCATCTGCTCCAACGTTCAATTCCCAGCACAGTGTTTTCACACCTCAACTGTCCTCCATTTACAAACGCCTCCCTGCCTCTCTCTTGTGCTTCACAGAATCCAGGGCAAACATGATCCGCGAAAAAACACCACATTCACAACACCCTCGGATGCAAATAAACCACCGCTGGCAAGCATAACAGAACAAGCATCTGTCTTTGAACAGCTTCTGTTAAGGCACTTCCTACAGAGCCAGGTAGTGAACATGTGCATCGGAAATGGGATGAGAGGGAGAGAGGGTGTGTATGCATGTGTAAGCAAACAGTCTTTTGTAGTGTGTGTGGGTTTTCCCCGGGGGCAGTCATAGAGCCTACGTCTCCACAGCTCCACACACTAAGCCTAAAAGCTCATTTGCAGCGCTCGCTCTTCGCTGTGGGCCCCAGCCGTGATTATTCATAGTGGGTGCCAGGCCCTGTTGGCGCACTGGCAGACTGGCAGGGCTGGCACAGGGAGAAGGAGACCAAGCCAAGTCCTGAGAGCCTGCGAGGCAGAGCTGTTGTTGGGACTGAGTGGGTTCTGAAGGAGCTATCCTGAAGTCTTAAATTAATGGAGAGAGCCTCATAGGCCTCAGTGCTTCTCAACCCATATAGGACACAACAGACTAAACTGAGCCCTGCACTTGCACTATAGTTTTATTTTTAATAATATGAAAAATGACTGTGATCATGTTTTTAAACACAAAATGGAATTCCGCTGAGGACTCTTTATAACTTTAGAAAATTAACAACCCTTTGAAGTTTTTTTTCAAGGAAAAATATCATAACTTTGAGCCTATTTTCCTCCTGTTCTCATGAACAAATAACCTCATCAATAAAATAAAAACAGTATGGTACTGATTCAAGATTGTGCTAAACCATGGCACATACAGCCAGTGTAACTGATTGGGGCTGGAATGTATACAGAGCCCAGATGACAATGTGGGTGGCTAATAAATCAAAGGCACTCAGAGTGCAGTGTGGCCCTTTTATTCCATAGTTAATAATTAGTGCTACTGTTTGGCTCGGGGACTTCAAGCTCTCCCTGATAGCAATTTACATACTGATTGTGCATCATGCGTACTTTGAGCTCAAGAGATATTTTTCAAGTGTGTGTAAATGTGGAGGTTTGTCTGTACTGCACTGCACACAATTTTCTGCATCAGAGCACATGAGGACATGAGAGACGTGAATGTTTTGTACAATAATCTGATCTGTGGCTGTGTGCAGTTGTTTATTAGCCTTACCTGTGACCGTTGAGGTTGAGGCCGTTGTAGGCAGAAAGGGGACGGGGGTGGCAGCGTGATGGGGGCCGGTGGGGCCCTGCCTGGCTGGGGTGCTGTTGGTGAGGGTGATGGGTGGGGAGGGCAGGTGATGGTGGGTGTGGGTGAAGGCTGGGCGTCGGCGGAGGCCGGGGGTTGGACAGCAGATCAGGCTGGTGCTGGGGCCGGGGAGGGGGGGGTGGTGAGGCCTCTTGGCCCTGGGCGAGAGGCAGGGCTGCGGGCGTCTGAGGCCTGGGGAGAGCCTCTGAGCGTGGGGGCAGGTGTGTGGAGGCCGGGGCCTGGGTAGGGCCGTTCGTCTGGGTCCGACGAGGGGACAGGGGCTGGGGGACGGATGGCTGAGGCTGGGGGAAGGGGCAGGGGCAGGGCTTGGGGGGGCAGGGGTTGACTTGGGGTGATGGATGCAGGGCGTGGGGGGTCCCTGCAGCTCTCCTGGCTCCTCTCCTGACTGCGCTCTAGGCCTGAAACCTTGAGGAGGCCTGGGCCATGAGGCTCCTGGCTGCCATTGGTGGAGAGCACATTGATGCCAAAATCTGGAACTGTGTAAAACAGAAAGGAAAACAGTGTAAAACAAACTGCTTCTCCAACAACAATTCTTGGTTTCCATTCAGGGGATCCATTTGAACAAAAATGTTAAAAACAGAAAAATAGCAGGATCACATGAATATTCACTGACGTGTGGATGAATGGCACTAATGTGCAATTTTAATGGATCGTGGCTTTGAGAGACATACATATATCAAGCACAGATGCTTGGCTGTTTAAGTGCGTGTATGCATAGTGACCTCCTTTCCCCAGGTAAATGAACACTGAACATCTCCAGCTCTAACTAAGCTTATACATGTCGTGTGTATGTGTGAGCTTCAGGCTTTTTGTACACTCTAGTCTTTCTAATTGCCATCTCCTCTGCCACGCTGAGTGTGTATGCTCAGAGCTCACAGACAGCCCCATAAAGTGACACGCACATGTTTTCCCACTCTTCCTTCTCATGCTGACACGCCCTGCTTGGGTTTGCAGCTGTGCCAGCACAAGCACCAATTCCAGAGCCCATTCACGCAGCCTTAAACACCATCCCTGGAGACACTCTACACAGCTGAAATGTGTTTTTCTTCTCCAGGCTATATTAGTTTGTATCGAACACAAAAAAACATCACATCTTTTCAAGGTAATCTTTTTTTGCCTGGATGACAGAACTTCCACTTGCGGGACAGATTAAATTAATTCTGGTCAGTTTTTGTAATGAGGCAACATTTTTGCATGTACCTGGTATAGTTGAGATCTATTGCGTATGGAAACGAACTGTAGCTGAATTGTGTAAAACCAGTGTACAGGTTTGCATTTACATTTACGTAGTTATCTAAATAAAACTGCACAGTATTTCTTTAATAATAATCATCTTTGGAAACACTTGTGTTTGTTTTTACCACAGGCAAACTGGCTTGAGAGTAGTTACTGTTAGTGTGTATTAAAGGACGCTGCAGGATAACAGCACTGCATTCATTAATTCACTCTCACATGTAGCGTGAAGGACGGGCGCAGGGATTAATTTTATGGACTTTCAGTAATTGCCCAAAACCAGCAATTACCTGCCATTAGAAGCCCTGGTTGGACTCCATTATGTCCAAAGTGTGAATTAATCCAAAGAATGAATAATAACTGCTGCACAATGTTGAAGTCACACAGAACAATAGCTAATAAGCTCCATCCAGGGTATTTCTCTGCAGGGACCTCCTCCTACAGAACAAAGTGCTCAGACATCAGCAGTCAGCCTGGCTGCTCCAGAGGCAGAGAGGCTCATGGGGGATGACAGTGCATACATAAACTGTAATTAACTCTCCCTGGGCCTCAGGGAGGGGCGGCGGGGGGGGGTTAGGGGCAGGAGCGAGGGGCTCCTCCTCTCCCTTAGGGAAGCCAGCTAAATCCTTCACCTGCCAAAGAGGTGTAGATGGGACCCAGTTCCCCTGGGCTGAGACAGCAGCCTACACTGCAGAGCTGCAGTCTGTCACAGCGGGCTTCCATCTCCCTGACACACTACTCCCTCCAGACCAATTCCACTGGGAGCAGGCGGAGCTAACAGGGCTCTACGAGAACCTCTGTCCATTAGCATTAAAATGCTAAGTGAGGTATCAGCAACCCCTGGTGCATGTGATATTATAGTTAAGGGTCAGGGGAGGTAATTCCTGATGCAAAATCCCAATCAATATATACAATAACAGCTATTGACTCCTGCTCTGTGTGGGAAAGCTTACTGGGACATCTGCCAGCCTGTCAGGAGACAAAAGGTGTGTGTTTATGTAATAGTCTGTAAACTGTCTTTGGGAAGCACTAGAAGAAAAGTCACCTCATAATGCAGAGAGGCATCAGTTTTCATAGATAACTAACCCTTACATAGAAACTATATCTCATCTTTGGTAGTCTGCACAAAAAACACATCCCTGTTCAACGCTCATGTGCATCAATGAAAAAGAAAGCCTGGCAGCCCTTAAAGCTATCTCCCTCGTCCATGTCAATCTTTTCCACTTACAAATGCTATTACCGGTCAACAGAGACTGCTGCTGGCAAACAACTTCACCGCAGCAGACGGGGAGAGGAGAAATTCCCAATTCTCAAACCTCCTGCTGCACCTCTCAGTCCCTGAGGTCCACAGCTTGTTTTGAGAATGTGCTAACACGCTAAAAAAGAAGGTGTCTATTCCGGTCATAATGAAGACTCAAGGGTCGGTTGGTGCGGGGAAGAAGAGGAGAGGAGAATACAGCAGCTTCCCTCCCGCGAGGGTTCATTTGTCAGTCTTCTTCATCCCTGGAAACAAATAAGCGCAATTCCCCCTTGGGTTACTCAAAATATGGAGTGCTGCTGTTTCTCAACGTTTCAGTGGTATTTCGCTTTCTAACTAGTACATGTTGCTGTGTGGAGCGTTAGAGTGGAGAATGAGGCCTGTGGGTTAGTCAGGGAGGCAAAAGCTAGAGGCGGGATTTAAGAGGTGAAGGGGGTACAGGAGGGCTTTGTGAGGGTCAGCTGGTTGTGTGTGTGTGCAGGAAAGCCATTCATTAAGGCTGGATGTCAGGGGACCCAGCGATGGGCTTATGGGGATAACTCATTATCCCAGGGTGAGCCATCTCCTACTCACAGTGCATTAGCTGCACACACTACCACTCCTGATTTTATCTCCCTACATGGTTAAAGCTACACTGCAGCATGTAAAAATTACATCTCTGACCTGGCTGACCTGAATATAATGAAAATGTAACACGTTATGACAAATATGGATTAAAAAAACCCTCCACCCCTTAAAAACTGGCATAAGACATGAGATAACAGACAGGCTAATTGGTATGCAGGCTTCTTTGGTGCTCTGTTTTTCATCTCACCTTTGTTTTTACTGTCCTGCAGTGGACCACAACTCATTAGCACCACGCAGCTGTATTTACCGTTAGCATTTTTTGATGTGCTGCTTCTATCACATTGAGACTGCAGGGTTAATAGGTCTGTGTATTGGTCAGTTAATGGTCCTTCATCAGCAAGGTGTTTGGATTGGTGCAACCACGTGTGAGACAATGGCTCAGATCTTTGATCCAATCTTTGCATAGTGCTATGATTCACAGATGGAATGACAGGAGGTCTGGCAAAGTGAGATACAGAGCATTAAGAAGTTTAATACGGTGTTAGGTCATTACGACTGTACATAAGGGGATTCATTTAGCATATTATATTTCAATGTCATCTCTGGATACAGCCTGGCCCCATATAAATGATTAACAAACAAGCGCCAACAACATCATCTTTTAAAAGCTAGACTGGCAGGCCAGCACCTGCCCTTTTGAAAAATACATTAGCACCCAACTCAAGCCAAGTTCGCTAATCTCTCTCCCTCTCCATAATATGTGCGTATATGACAGACTACACCCGGGCCTCTGTGACATCCCAAACCTTCGCTGCTTGCCATCACCCCGTCCCATCGTCCTCAAAATAGCGCCTTGATGTATTCTAAACCCTCACACTCATTTATGGGATTTCATCCAAGCAGGGGTCGCATAGCTCCAATCACACAAAACCAACAACCTAACACATAGCCTGAGCCACAAGACTGACAGCTGAGCCATGTGTATGTCAGAGTTGTCTGAGCAGAGGCGAAAAGCAAAGAGGGCTGATCCTGATGCATGATGCTAGGCTGCTGTCTGGTCAGCTCCCAGTCAAACTACCAGAATACAGCACTAATAAAATTCCCTCATGATCATTCATGATCATTTTGGAAGGTCTGTAAAGAAACTAGTAACCACTGATGTAGTATAAAAATACAAAAAACCAAAAAAAAAAATCAGCACAAGCGCAAGTAACTCAAAACGGTGTTGGTACTAGTACTAGAAAAATAAGTACTTTGTTACAGGAATCTTTGTTACACCAACTTAGACTACAATAATAATAAAATACATTGTGAAGTTTAAGTAATGGTTGGTGTATTTTCCAGGAGTTTGTTCTTGTAACTCTTTAGCAACAAGACTCAGAGTCTGCACACTACAACAATCTAACTCTAAATTCATTAGGATACATCCTCTGGGAACCATGAATGTCTCTACCAAATTTAATACTTATCATTTTTTTTTGTTATTTTACAGGATATGTGAAAACTTTGACCCGTTAGTGGCACCAGGTGAAAGGTCAGGGGATCCCCAAAGTCCTCATTCTTTAAGTGTCTGAACAACATTTCATGGCAATCCATCCAGTGGTTTTCCAGTCAGGATCATACTTCAGAAAACAGCAACATGACAGATCAACATTGGGATCCATGGAGCCATGCTGCTATAGCGTAGCTCCAAAACACAGAAATATACTGTGATACATTCTGTAATGACACATGGATTTGTGGCAGTCCAAAAACTGTACATCAGCAGATGTGAATGGCGATAGAAAATGTAGCCTGAGGGCACTTATCTACGGCCTGGAATTTAGAAAAAGCCTTTCTAAGGAGAAGCACTGAACCAAAACCAAGAGACCTTCTTTGCCCCCCCGCAACTAATTTTCTCCGTCCCTGCTGTACTACAGTGGGCAGAATCACGACCAAACCTCTAATAGATCACATTGCAAGAAAACTGTACCATGACACTAGTGAGTCCTAAACAGATTAATTTGGTCTAGAGATGTTCTTTATAAAACTGCGTGGGCTGCTGAGGCTGGACTCAGAGTAGGCAAACAATGGTGGAGTTGTTGGGAGGAGGACACACATCATCATCCAGCTTCTCAGAAAACAGAAACATAAACAGAGGGAGGCAGACTGTTTGCTCAAGTTGAATCAATTAAAGTGTGCACTGTGCTGAACAAGGACTCATGGCCCTCATTGAAAATCTTGGTATGTCTCAGTAAACATTAATTACAATCAGGATCTCCCTCTGTGCTGTGCTAGGTTTTCAGAAGTGGGCTGAATAAAATCTCCCTCAAAAATATTCAGTCCCCAGTAATGCAGAATGTTTTAAAAGACAATTTTGCCTCAGGCCTTAGTCTGGAAACCATTTTATCTCTGAAAAAAAATGAAGAAGGAAAACAC